TCCCTGATGCGCCCCGCACTGGCGTCGCGCGACCTCGCCAGCGCGTTAGAGGCTGCAGGGCGCTTGAATGTATCCACTTTGGCGCTGCGCGGTTAAGCGATTGCGGAGGGGGTACCGGCGGCGCGCGATCTGATAGATTTTCGGGCCGCTGGGGGGGGTCAGGCGCAGCCCAGCCAACCACTGCGTTCCCGCCACAGATCAGGGAGTCTTGCCGTCATTTTTCGGGGCCGCCGGGATAGTGGCCTTCCGGGGTGGGGTTATGGTTGGGGTGTTGCGTCCAGCCTGCTTGGAACAGAGCGGATCGCCTGACAGACAGAGCGCACGACAGTGCATTCGCTACCTTCCCGCATCGAGGTGGTGTCAAACTGCAGGCTTGGCTGCACGGCCTACTTCCCTCTAGAGACAGATCTGTCAGCTGTTGGCTGGGGAACACGCGCAACTCCAAAATTCGCGGCGAACCGGGTAGTGTCCACCCATGTGGATCTTGCCTGGCCACCGGGTGCCGGTTGATCAGGGTTGACCACCGGTGCCCCTTTGGTATCCCACCTGCCTGACACCTTCCTGGGGGCCTGTCGTGTCGGGATGCCGTTCCAGCACACACAGTATCCACAAAATAGCAAAGACCCCCACTCACTTAACGTCAAGAACGTCTTCTGCGGTGTCTTCAACCACGTTCTGGACGTGGCGCCCTGGCTGCCACCGGCGGGAGGTGGCATTAGAGCCTCGGAATCAATCTGGGCGGTGGATGCACAGATCCGCACTGCACAGAAAATCGCTTCAGGGGGTGGACGGGCGCACGGGCGCACGGGCGCACTTGTGGGCCTAGTTTCCGCCAGGCTACACCTCTAAAGGCGTGCAGGAAATTTGAGTACACCTCTATTGATTCCAGGGTGCGTCGGCCCCCGTGAGTCCTTGGTTTCTGCGAAGGGAGGGGACTAGCTGTATCCCACGACTGTCGGGCCGAACGCGAGACAATCACGGAACTGCTGGGCCCGGCACACCGCAGCAGCCCTCCGAGACTGTCGCGGCGACTTTGCGCATCGAACCGCGGACTGCCGGCAGCGCTGCTGTGGGGCTTGCGTTTGGACAAGGATGACCGTCGGACGACGAGCGTGTGGCCATGGCTGGCGTAAAGCCAATCGCTGGATGATCTGCACACCACCTTCGCACCGCTGCCGTTGCCGCGGTGCGCCAGTTGTCAGCGTTCCTACTCAGGCGGTTGGCGACAACAGGGCTCCTAGGTTAGTTCAGCAAAGTAGGAAAGGACCGCTGCTCTTCCGTTCAATGCCCCGCTGAAATTCAGCATATATTGAATTTGTATGTTATTATATTGTCAATGTATTGGCAGCCTTGCCCGTTTCGAAAATGTTCCCGAGCTGAGAGCGGTTGCGATTTGGATCCAATATCTACATTTTCTCCCTGGGTCGCTGCGCATGTCCTAGGTTTCCAACGTCATTGGTGTCACCGCGACTCCCTTCCAGCATCCAATCAGCGCCGGCCGCGTTGAGACGTTTGCTCGCGCATCCGCGATCCGTGTTGATTCCTTGCGGATTGCCATTTAACCTCATGTCATGCAACTCCGCAAAAGGGCCGCCCCCAGCCACAGTTTGGGCCGACACGCTGGTCACTCGATCGCTCGATGCGCACCTGCAGCCTTGCCATTGGAGCGGTGAACCAACCCGACATTGGAATCGCAGCTCTTGCCAAACCGCCTCTGGCCGGCACACCGAACGAGCAAACTCCGCCCGCCGACGAGACGACACGTGAGTTGCACACTTGCCAACTTCATGCACGTCCCTGCTTCCCAAGGAGGCTCCGTTGCGTCATCTTTTCCGCGGGGGAAGTGTAGGCTCGGCGCTGCAGAGCGGCTCTCATCCCATAGCGCGAGCTGGCCAGCGATGCCCACAGGATGATGCCGTGGTGGCCGCCAATCGTCGAGATTGAAGGCGCCAGCAAAGGATGCCAAACGATTGGATCCGCCCACACGATCTGGGACGCGGATCGAATGGCTAGGATCGCGCAGAACGCTGTAGCAGATGCGGTGATTGGGGCGGAGCGGTGGGTTGGGGTTGGGACCTTGGCATGAAGACCGCCTAACTTGGCTTTTGGTGCCCGTTGGACGAAGGGTACCCTGTGGGCAGGGGTTTCTGGCCGCGCTCAGTGTGTCGTGCGCTCTCCGGGCACGGATGGTTCCACGCGGATGTCTGGAACGCGCGTTGCCGGGCAGCCATGCGCATTTCTTCGCCGTTCGGTGCGGCTGAGGACAGTCCACTGCCGTACTCCGGCCCCAAGGGGTGGGGGCCTTGGCTTGGCGGGGCGCCATTTTCGACAACCCGAAATCCAGCGCGAAGAGGAAACCAAACAGCGGATGTCCAAAAGGCCGGCCGGGACGGGACGGAACGCGGATGGGCCCCTCGGCCCACCCCACGGCAGCGCTCCGAGGCTGGCCCCCCGGTTTCGTGCGAACCCCGCAGGAAGGCGATGCTGTGCTGTGCCGTGCTGTGTTGCCACTGGGGAAGTGAGTTGGGTTTGTGTCACGACAGGTTGCAGTTTCTGGCAAGGATTGTGGGGGGGTGCTGGCTGGCGTGGCCCATTACCAAGAACTTTCTGGAAAGAGAACATATTAATCCCCATATCTTTTCCGTGAGGATCTCTTCTTGTTCAGGCCAACGCCGGTCAGCGGGTCAGTTGTTTAGGGTTTGGGGTGTCCAAAACAAGAATCGACAATCACAAAAGAGACAGAGCCACACATTTCAGGCCTTCTGGACATTTGGCCAAACGCGGTGCAGTGGGGTCCCGTAGTAGCGCCCACGACGTGGTGCTGTGGCGGAAAACGGGGAGCCATCGGGGGCCGGGCGATGCTAGCTTGGCGTCATATGGGCAAAGGCACTACGCTGGTCCATTAAGTAGTAAGTTGCTTACTCCTCCACCAATGCCAGCAGCCACAAACGCGCCCACCACCTCGCATGTTTGCTGAATGCTGTCGCATCCCTTCACACCTGCTAAATGTAACAAGTGTCCGGCGAAGCCCGAATGTACCAGCCGTCCAGAGTGAGGCGTACATTTGCCGACGCCACTGGCGTTTGCAGCTGTGCGGAGACGGGAAGTACGTGCCTTGACACCATCCTGGCAGACTTTAGGTCCTATTGCCAGGTTCTAGGTTTGTGCCCGCGCCCTGGAAAAGGGCTCTTACTAGTAAAACAGTCTTTTTCTTTTCTTTTTTCTTTCGTCTTTGTCTTTAAGGGGGGTCGTCTTCCTGCTCAGTCAGTTTGCCTGAACAGTGCAGTCTTCGAATGTAATACAGTAGGGGTCCCTGTATAGCGCCCCCCCAATAGTGCCCGTGGCCCCAACAGCACCCCCCTTTTTGGCTTGTCACCATTTCTGTAGTACTTTATGCAGTTTCGTTGCGCAGTGGGACCTCAAACTTGTATGTGTGTGTGTGTGTGTGTGTGTGGTGGGGGAGGGTAGCGACCCCTATTTAGCGACCTATCTAGGTTTAGCGTCCCCCTGAACGGCTTTTCACCGTTCCCGTAGTACTTTATTCCTCTGCCATAGAGGACAGCCCCAAGCGCCCACGACTTTGGCGCTGCGATCAAGTCGCTGGCACCAAAAGCCACTATGGGCCCTGTTGGCCGGATGTAGCGTACCCACTACACAGGCATCGTAGTGTACTCCCTACACTGGCGGCCATGGTACCCTTTTCACCGGCTGCTGGCGGTACCCCCCTTAACACAATAGCGCCCCCGGCCCTTAATAGCGCCCCCCTTTGGGCAATGTCCCGGGCGGTATATAGGGACCCCTGCTGTAGTCACTGGTCGTTTGATTGGCGACCTAGGAATGGAGTGCCGCCCAGGTCACAGCGCGGCTGGCACATGGAGAACTGCGGGGTTCAAGTCTGACTCCGTCAAATGAGCAGCTCAATCCCTGCCTCATTTCATAAGTCTCAAAAGGGCTTAAGGTTTCTCCTGGCGGGTGGATGCCAAGGGGACTTGACGAATGTCTGCCAGTGGTGGTGGCACTGTCGCGCTTTGCGTGCATTGCATGATGGACGGCTTGCAGGCCCAGGCGAAGAGGCAGGAACTGTACGCTCCTGTGGCTGCTAAGGGGTCTGTGGGAGTTCGAAAACGTGCTTGCTGCCGCGTCGCCTGAGAGATCTGACTGTTGTTGCTTTTAAAGGGGAGTGGTGGTTGCAGTGGGGCTTGGGAGGAAACTAGGGTTACCGCCTCATACGAAAGGCCATCAAGGTAGCGATGCACATACTCCATTGACCCCTGGATGCCAGCATTGTTCGTCCGAAATCTTGAATGGTTGTGACAAGTCCTCATCTAACAATGCCACAGGGGGAAACCAGTATGGTGTACAGGCCGGACTTGAACCTCTTATTGATTATTGAGCTTCCCCTGATGGAACCCCTGCTGATTAGTGTCCACCACAACGCAGTGTGGTAGCTCAAAGCTGCTGCGCATTTGGACCAAACCACATTGCTCAATTCCTGTGAGCCTGGGGCCAAAATTCCAGCCGTTGTGCCCGTGTGCAGTTTTGATGCGATCGAGTTTCCTGCGCTGCACTCCAGGTGAAGAATGGGCGCGATGGTGGCGTTCAGGATGTCAGTCTGCGCCCGAAAAAATCTTATCAAGAGTTATGTGTGCCTCCTGCTGCTGCTGGCGGAGAAGGCAACATTGGTGGTGTGTGTAGAGGGGATTGCAGCCCTTGTTGTGCACGAGCAAGCAATTCCTGTGACTTTTGGCTGCAACCAACACATGCAGGTAGGAAGAATACTGGCAGCCGCTGCATGACCTCCAAGTGATGGTGCCAATGGAAGTGGGCATTGACTGTCCTGCAGCAACTTCCGAGCGCAGAATGGGATCTTAGGGAGGAAAGGGATGGGAGTGTTTGTAGCACTATTGGTGAAAGGCTTTCAAAGTAATTCGCAGCCAATTGGAGTATGCTGCATATGCAAGCAAATGACCATGTGAGTGTTGTCGCCAATCCAGACAGGAATGTGTTACCTTTACGGTGTGGCTACCATGGTTTTCCCAAAGCCACTGCCCAGCGCCTTTGTGCCCAGGAAGCTTATTTGTGTTCAGCTGGGCAGCAACATATCATGTCACGTGTTGTTTCAGGTCACCCTGATGGAAGTTTCCACCGGCCGCTTTCCTTACATCAGCATGCTGGAGGGCCGTGGGCGTGCCTGCAGCGTAGTTGCCATCACCAACAGGCACATCCTGACGGCAGCCAGTTGCATTTTTGCACCTGGGAATTCTGCAGAATTGATGTTCGGGCCTTGGAAGGGAGGCGCTAGCAGTTGGTGGACTCTGATCTGGCAGGTAAACTTCCTGTCAAGCAAAACTAGTGCTACAGTTGTGCTGGTTGCATGCGGATCTTTATTGACTGCATTCACCTTTGTAGGGGGACACAGTACCTTTGCCCTTTGGGGAATGTTGGGCATGTACACAGCAAATTGTGTATGTCCATGGCCCTGACTCATAAATTCTCCCTCCATGTACAAGGCAAATTTTGTTGTTCAAGAAAGAGAAACAAACTGCTGATGGTGACTTTCTGGGCAGACAGGGGGTGAAACACTTCCTTAGCTTAGGAAATGATGTGTTGCCTCAGATTCAGGAGGAAGACACAGAATAGCATGCATCACTTTATCAGTGTTCTGTATAAGAGACAAGCAGTGGCCAAGAGGAGCGCAGCAGCAATGACAGTTGTGTCACAGCATCTGTAATTCTTCTTCTGAAATTAGCGATTGGTTGAAAGTCAAGTTGCTTGTACCATCCTGTGTTGGTGCTGCATGATGTTGCCAACACTGAACCATGGGAGCCCAGCTTCTCTGCAGCAAACAGTTGTGTGTGTTACACCAAGTCAGATCGCAGATCGCACCTTGCCGCCTTTCATATCGTGTTTGCTTGGCTGCGTTGACTGCAGGGCCTGTGGAGGGAACAGGTGCATGTCCATCCCAACTGGACAGGATTGGCTGCTGATGGATACGACATCGCGATCTTGACGCTGGCAGTGCCTATTCATGCTCTACCAGTAGTCCTTGCCGACCCGACATTCCGCATTACAAGTGACTCTCGCATCCATGCCGTTTGGCCCCAGAATGTAGGGCGCACTCAAGTCGGTCTCCAACCTGCAAACCCTGAGCCCCTGTGCCGCAGCCCCCATGTTTCTACAGAGGCCACATCCTGCGCCCAGTCAATCGGGACCTGCGGTCCTCAAGGTACTGGCTGTGGAACGTTTCACTGGCACAACAGGACAGCTGAGGCATTCCTGACAGTTGCTGTTGTCTATGTAGATCATGGAAACGCAGGTTTTGGGCTATTCTCCACAATTGTAGAGATCTGTAATTTGAGACTGTTGTTTGCTATAATCTGTAGCCAGAGACATCAAGGGGACTTTCACACCTTTCTGCTGAATTGGCGGTCTTGCGTGGCATTTGCTCATACCGACTTACACTGTGGTGCTTTGCTCAGGTTCTGTGTTGGTGCTACTGGACATACCCTCCGCAGGAGTGGAGACCCTTGGCAGTGGCAGTGCTCTTGATGCCACCCTTGATTCTGGACCTCCAAACTTGGACCTACTTGTGGGCATCTACCCACAGCCTAGTGTCGCAGTGCACAACAACACCACAGCAATGGTAGCTTGGATAGCAAATATTCGAGCCTGGATTGATAAGATTGTGAAAAGGAAATCTCTGCTTTAGCTGCGCCATGTGAAGGCGAGACTATTGCCTTGCATGTTTGCTAGCGATATTCAAATGGCAGTGATGTACCTGCAATTGCTGCGTCGTTGGGATTCAAACGAGCCGTAACAAGTTTGCCCTGTTGTGTTTTGTTGTGGATCTTATCTGTTTCCTGAGAGCCTGGGAATTTTCTAGTATGCCCCAACTATTGGCACATGAGTGGTTTGTAGATGGCGGCCGTCTTGTTGTCAGGCTCTGAGTGAATGGAGCATAAAGATCGAAAAGATACCTTGAAAGAATGTATGCAACGTCTGGTGTTATTGGAAGCATGGCACATTCAGAGTCTCAGTATTGAAGCATACAGTTGGGGCTTTTGGCACATGGGCTAGGAAGCATTGCGTCGTGTACGTCATCTGTGTTCATTTGTCTATTGAGAGGATTCGACTAATAGAATGTGCAGCCCAGCTGGTGTCCTGGAGGACATGCGAAGGTAAGTTGAGTTGACAATCCTCATAAGAAGATCGATAAATCGAACACAAGTCTTTGTACGGATCTACCCAATGCAGCTCTGTCCTAGTAGCACCGATCACTACATTTGATTGGTGTGAGGGGTGCGTCTGGCCCGTGCGCCATCCAGATACGGGAATCGGTGTGCCACGATTGCATAGCATAGGGGTTGCTCCGTCCATGGAGTAGGCCAGCTGGATTTGTGGCGGCAGTGGGAGGAGCAGTGATGAATGTAAGGTCATTGCTTGCACTGCATTTCGCCATGGCCGATTGCGGTTTGCAATTGGCAATTTGTGTGGCATGTGCTAGCTTGAAGTTTCTTTTTTCAAACAGGGCTCACGTCCCCTTGCTTGATGCATTTGTTGCATTGTCACTCCTGCCTACACTTTGTACTGGCCGACCAGTGCACCACGAGAACTGCATCACACGAACACATCGCGATACAGCAGATGCTTGGAGCCTCATTGCTATCCGCAGGCACTTCAACCACAAGTCTTCATGCCAAGTCGGAAGGGGGGTGCAGCAATGTGGCGGCCACTTGAGCAAGCAGGAGTGACCATGCCACTGTTCGACACTTCCCATTGCTGGACTGGTGGAGCAGGCAGAGGAGTGCTAATGCGGAATGGTATTCCCCCCTACACGTTTCTCCACGGTCGACACCTGAGCTTGGAGGCTGCTCAAACAGATGGACGCATGGGTAAATCTTCGATATTACCAGAATAATAAAGTTCCGCTCCAAATCGACTGCCAAGGGGCCATGGTCGGGCCAGTGAGATGCGCAGCAAAATCAGGGGCAGCGATGTGCTTGAGGGAACTTGTTTACCGGGGTGCATGACTCATACAGCATGAGTGGGCTGCAGGACGGCGGTCATACTGCTGTATATTCGACAGCACCCAAAACAGCTTCTGCCCAGTCCCAGCGATGTACGCAAGGCCACCAGATGCACGTGATCGGCCTTGTCCCTGTGTGCGCCAAAAACAACTTCTGACCAATCCAGCGATGCACGCAAGGCGCCAGACGCACGTGATCGGCCCTGTCACTGTGTGCGCCAAGGGCTGCAGAGCCAACGGAATATCAAAGATGCATCTTGCGCGCCTGACTGTGCGCATCAAGATGCAGCACACACGTGTGCCAGGATGCTCTCTGGAGCCTGGAATATCAGTACTATGCGTCCAGGGTGTCGCGCTCCGTGTACTGCCCTGGACGTGCCGAAGGATGCCAATGCCAGATTCCCTGTCCTCTACGCCAAGGATATACCGCAGGCAACGTTTCTCAGCGAATATCCGCAGCCTTAGACCCACACTCCGCGCCGTAATGTACTCCACAGAAATGCTGATGTCACGCCACGCCGGCGGTGCCGAAGCCGTCGGGAAGCCGTTTCTTCACACATGCTTTTGTGCCCCGTCCAGCGATCAAGGCCCGTGTATCGACGAGCGCCGCTCTTGACAGGGCACAGGGCCGGCAAGGGCCAGCGCACTCCGCCAGCGACAGCCCCGAGCGTAGCAGCGAGGACGCTGTGCGTGCGTGGAAGCGCCTGGCCACGGTACGTGGGATGGACCATCGGGCATCCATATGGCTTTGGCTGCGATTGTCGACGCGAGTATCGTTCGCACTTTTCTGCGTGACCCGCGACCGCATATTTCGCTTCCTGGGTAGAGTCGCGGTGCCTTCTGAGTCTAGTTTGCCGCGGGGCACGCGGCGGCAGGGTCCTCGGAGCCCTGCCCGCGGCCGAGATGATACCATCGACGTCATGCAGGACGCCTTGACGCTTGCGCTTTGGATCGTCGAGCCCTTGGGAATGCGGCGTCGCGCGGTGTGCGAAACGCCCTGCGCGGAACAGTTCGACCTTTGCGAATGTTTCCGAACTCCGGACGGCGCCGGTCTTCTCCAGTGCGCTACAACGCAGCTTTGCGCTTCTCAATTGCGTCAGGCGCTTGATCGCCAAGCTGCTGCGTGGCTATCTGCCGCGGGGCGTCCATCAACCTCAGATCCAGCTGCAGGTCCCTCTGAATATCCCGCCGCGCCGGGAACGAGGCCCGGCGACGTTCTCGTCTCCCGAATGCTCGAAACCGCCCACTGGATGAATGGCCCTGCTGCACAAAGACTGGGGGCCATAAGAGGGTGCCTGGGGGCCCTGCGCCTCAGCAACAGCCCGTTGCCGTTGGTGTGGCTCTGTGCCGCGACGGCCGGAGCTGCAGCACTGGCGCACTGGTCATGTGACACCTGATGATACAGCTGTGTGGCAACCGTGGGGCGTTGGCTTGTGTGCACGTGGGCATCCTGGCCAGATGCGACGGCTGTGGCGCTTGGGCTGGAACTGGTGCGAAGGACCCGTCTTCTGTGTGCCACAGGGAACAAGTGAATGAGCATAGATTCTAAAATCACGTGCGAATTTGGGGTTCAGATCATGGGCGACTTTAGGCTCTAAGATCACTGTCAATGGGGCTCAATGCTCATAGTTCAGTTCGGCGGACCTGGGAAGGTGCTGCGGTTGCCCCTGCCACGTCCCTGACGCATCATCTGACGTGCCAACATAAGGACCCACCGCCAAGACCAATACGGTCCTCCGCCAACGAATACGCCACCCCGGGGACGCATGTGAGCAGCCTCGCCCGGGGGCCCCGTGCCCCAGCGGAGGGACCAACGCGCCGTCTCGCGTCCCGTGCGCCCTTGCCTACTCTCGCCTCGGCACGCCAATCGCAGGCACGGCGCGCAAACTTCTCTCGAAGCGGAACACGGATTTGCCCGGCTACAGACATTCCGCCAACCAGAACACTGTATCAATTGCAGACTCATCCATCAAGGCAAGGCTTCGCCGGTGTTGAGCAGCGGCGCGCGCCGCGGGGGCGCCCTCGGTTTGAGGCGCGTGTTAGGATTCGACGTTGGTTTTTGCAGTGGCGGGCGCATGTTTTGGTGTGGCGCGCGACGGGGCTGAATCTGTTCGTTTCCCTCCCACCGTGTGCTGCTGTCGCACCGCGGACTGGTCTCAATCGACCGCCCTGGCAGCCTTCGCCGAAAGCCTCCTCCTAGGATAGTGTGGCTGGACCGGGGCTCCAAAGCCAGCCGTCGAACAACCGGCCGGGGTCCAGGCCCGTATATCCGCGTACGTCGTCGTATGAACCACTGAGGCCGTATGCAGCGCTGCCGTCGCGCGGTTCGGCCCGTCTGAGTCCTGGTGACGACCCTGGGCAGTGCGTTGGGCTTGGGCAGGCCCCCAGTCTGTTTCCCCCACCCCCATCCCCAACCCGCACTCCGGTCCGTAGACAGCTGCGTCACCAGGATGGTGGCTCACAGAGAGCTGGACATGGGGCGCGGACCAGGGGTAAGGCGAAAGTCCCCCTCGTCTAGAACACGCCGCCACTTTTCGTCCTGTGCCAGGCTATTTCCGGGGCAGTGTGCCTTGTGATCAATGCCTCCCGAAGGGAATGGTGGCGTGCGTGTGCCTGTTTTGGGGAAGACCGCGTATAGCCTTCCAACATGCCCCCGCTAGTTGCCACGGCCCCACGCCCTTGAGGGTCCCCCACGGCTCCCGCTGGCTTCTCAGATCTTGTGGGATCCTAATCATCGGCTTCCCAGGGGCTATTTCTGGTTCACGGCCCTTGCAAGCTCTTGGCGCTCGAGCGATCTGGCGGCCCTCAACTGGAGCCGCGGCAAGGGAGGGCCACCGGCGAAACCTCGCAGCCTTTGCGCTCCCCCTCCAGTCGGGAACCTGGTGCGCAGACGCGAGGCAAATAACTGCCGCAAATTGGTCCTGCGGGCACCCGCAGCAGCAGTTTTGAGTGGCCAGAATTTAGGGACTTTGAGTTGCAAGCTCATAAGAGCCGCCGGGGGGTAAACTCTGGCTCCCAGCGCTGACACAGCGGGGCGCATGCCCGCCGCGGCAGGTGAGCTGCTTGCGGAGGGGCTACCTCCTGTCCATAGCGGTGTGTCTGCGCTTGCAACCGCCGTGTTCAGGGACAAAGCAGGCTTTGGATGCAATATTCGACACGACGGTTGATTCGGTGAAAGATAAGGCGTTTCGAAAACACCTGCACCAGAGGCGATGCAGGTGTGCGAAATTTCGAGCATATTTGTTCTTCACTCAAGTTTCTGAGGAGCTTGCATCAGCGCCACGTTCCCGAGGGCATGAACTGTAGTTATTCACCTTCCCATCCCCAAAACTATCTGTGAACGGACCACACGGTGCTTAGTCCATGTATAACCCACTTGTGAACTGGACGTCACCGTAGAAATTCCCCTTCCACCCCATCCAGCCATTGTGGTTGTTGGAGGCGATCTGGACTGCTGCCAGCAGAGCTGTTGGTGTTTTGCTGATTAGATTAAGGAATGTTTCCCAGCACCTGCTTCGTGTCACACCCTCTCCCACAACTCAAGGCTGGAAAAGTCTTGCATGTTGTCCAGATCTTCTCTTCACTGTCCATTTTGATGTTGCTGTTTGCTTGTTGCGCTGTTGTCGTCCATTTTGGTATTGTGTACCTGTCATCATAGGAATTGCTGCATGGTCTTGGATTTCTTGCGAACAACAAATACAGTCACTGTACTTCAATCTGCTCTGTGGCAATGCAGGTGAAGGATGGTTCTGGTGACAGCCACCAGAGAGTGGGAAATTCTCCAAATCCTTGTTGTGTGCCTGATATGCATGGCGCATGCTGCTGTTTTGGCAGCAGAAGTAGTGGAGGGCCTTGGAAGCCTTGTTGTCCAAGAAGAAGTGACCCCTGGACTTTGTTGCTACAGCACACTGCCGGCCATGAGGCTGAGGGCACTTCTGGATGCCAGCTTCTGTCAATCAGAGGTGGGCACACCTGATGCGCAGCGAAACAGAGTGGAGTGGGGGGTTATGGGAACGGGCTTGCTACACAAGCGTATTTGAATTGAGTGCGAATTTCAGAGTACCGATTGCATTTGTGTTGAAAGGCTGTGCATGCACCAAAGGACGGCTGGGTTTTTGGTGGAGAGCCCAGTGTTGTGTGCATTGTCCACACAAAGATGAACATGGGTAGAAGTATTCTACCCACCTTCTCCACTGCATGCATTAGTCCCAGGGCCAAAGCAAGGCCTTTGAATATGCAATGCAAAGATGGTCTGCATTGTACTCTGGAGGTTATTTTCCCATTGGTGCATGGATGTCCAATTTGTCATGAACTGTGGTGGCAGGGGAGAAGCATTCTTGAAAGAAATGATGGCATGCCAGTCAACTCAGCAAGAACTCTGTCATTTCAGGGTGGGCGTATGGCTGTACCTGCCACACGCTTCCCATACATCAACACGGTGGAGGTCCATGGCAAAGTGTGCAATGCAGTTGCCATATCTAAGACACACATTCTGACAAAGGCAAGCTGCATAGGAGCTGCAGCTGGCACCAATTTTGATCCTGGTGCTTGGAAGGGAGGTGTTGGCAGCGTTTGGACTCCCGCCCAGCTGGTGAGCGCACCCTACCCAGCAAAACTGAAAGTACAATGGTCCTGGCGCAGTGGAAGTCTCCATTTCGTGCGTTGGTGTCCACATGGTGAATAGTGCCCTTGCTGTTGTGCACTTGCACTGTTTTCACAGTGAGTGGTTATTCTACGATGGATCCAAGTCTCGCTCCAGCCCCTTGCACAGTGGACAATGGTTATTAAAATAACAGCAAAGACAATACAGCTGATATTGTGCATCTGCAGTTTCTGCACTGTGTCTAGTTGGTGGGTGGCCTGCCAAGCCTGTACTTCTGCTGCACTTTGTGCTGCAAAGCAGTCACCTTCTGATGTGCTGTCAGTCCTGCTGGGCAATATTTCCTAACTGTGTCACAGCCGTCAGCCATGTACCAACAATCAAGACAAGCGCTTAGGATGCTTTGCGTCAAGGTGCACACTCACACAAAATTCATACGTGCAATCATGCCCTCTTTGTTGTCTTGGAATGCCTGCCTTTCATACCTGCCCTGCACGCAGGGCCTGCACAGCAAGCAGGTGCACATCCATCCCAACTGGACTGGAGCCACCTCAGATCAACATGACGCCGCGATCTTGACTCTGGGCAAGCCAATTCGTGACCAGCCGGTAGTCCTCGCAGACCCCACATTCTGCCTTGTTGAGCACTTGCCTGCGCACACAGTGTGGCCCTGGGGTGGTGGAGGCTACCTAGTTAGTTCCTATACTGCATGTGCTGACCCTTGGTGCTGTGCCACCACTGGGTTGGTCAATGGCACGTCTGCCAATCAGCCAAATGGGACGTGTGACCTCCCAGGTGTGGCCCTCGATGGAGCCTGCTGGCATCAAAGCAGTGTTGTGTCATGGCTGTGAAACTCACAACTAGAACACTTTGCTTGGCGATGCCAGCTGTCAAGCCATTTGTGATTCTAGTTGTGCCAGCAAGGTGCCGATGGTGGCATCACATCGCGCCAAAATTGCATCACAGTTGGCATCGCCATATGGTGTTTCCCATTTTGATTGGTGCACTCCCATATTTGGATGAGTGAAATTGCAGTCTTCTTATGCTCGGACTTCATGGGCGGGCAAATCAACAGATGTCACTTTTGCAGTGTTGACTGCTGCTAAATTTATGTGTTGGATGAATCTTTTGGCTCATTTTGCAGGTGGCATATTGGTGCTATTGGAATCCCCTTCGGCCAGCACAGCACCCCATGGGTGTGGGCACACATCGCATGCCACCATCGAGTCAGGTTCTCCGGACTTGGACCTGCTTGTGGGCATCTACGCACTGCCTGACGTCGCCTTGGACAGTGAAACCGCTGAAGAGATAACGTGGATCGCCACAATCCGATCCTGGATCGATGAGATAATTCTTTAGAGCCCAGCCACCTTACTTGGAAGGGGGAATCTCAGATGCTCACAGCCCATGTATTGCTGGGTGAATGTCCGCTGTGAGTATACCATATGCCTTGTGAAGGGTGAAACTGTGCAGTTGCAATTGCAGGCGATAATGTGCTTGTTGGGCTGCACCGAGAATGACTGCGTTGTTCAGAAATGGACGAATTGACTATGATGGCACTGCCGCACTTGGACTGGGACGTTGCATGCATGTCTGACGGTTGGTGATTTCTCGAGTGCGCCCGTAGGGTTGACGTCCGATTGGCTCATAGACAGGTGACGCCCTGGAGATGCTGGGCCAGTGTTAGTGTAAGGCATCCAGTAAGAGTGAGGAATCAGAGCCGAAGAGTGTGGGCGATATCGGTGTTGTCTGACATGCTCTGAGTGCTCTGTTTGCCCCACTCCCTCCGCACTTTGTCCACGGTATGAATCTTTGGTGCTTTACGGCAGGTGTGTCCGCGGTACGATTGTCCAAAGAGTATTCGCGCCCGATACCAAGGGGTGGGGTGGGTGGGGGGTTGGAAGGTGGTGTGTGGCAGACCGGGGGAGGGTATCGGGGGCGCCCCCATGGCATGCATATCTGGCACCTGGGAGCCGGGGCCGCTTGTGGCCCTTTGGGACGCCCACATGGGCGCGGTGGCAAAAATGTGACGTCGTTATGTACTGCATGGAGCGGCTCATTTCCCACCTCCCAGGAAGGGAGATGGAAGACGTCCCTCTTACAAATGCGTGTGGGCGCTCGTGCGGTCGAAGCCCGCGGAGCGACAAACGCCGCGCTTGAAGGACCGCAGGGCCAGCAAGGGCTGGCGAACTCCAACTGGGAGGTTCCCTGCGGAGCGGCGAAAATCCGGTGCGTGTGTGCAGCCATTCGGACGTGGTGAGTGGGCGGTCAGCAGGCTGCACGTGCATCATCAGACTTCCGATGGAGTCCATCCATCTGTCACAACACAGGGACGCATGCGCCTGTGCCCTGTTTCGCGTGATCCGCGGCCGCGCGTTCGCTTCCCGTGTCGAGCCGCGTTGCCCCCAGAGTCGAGTTTGTGGCGGGTGACGCGGTGGCTTGGTCCCAGGCGCCTCGCATGTGGCCGAGATGATACAGTTGTTGGCATGCGAGATTGAGCCTTGCCGCTGAGGCTTTGGAGTCTTGCGCTCTTGAAAAGTTTCCTCGGGCGTCAGCGACGTCCCCACGGTACCGTGCACACCGGTGTGCAGTACGCCCTGCGCGGAGCACCCCGGGCTGCAGGCAGGCTTGTGGAAAAGGCTGAATCCCAAGAGAGTACGGAGCTTCTCCAGCGTGCAATGAACTTGCTGCTTGACCGACGCGCCCTCGAACGCCAAGGCCTGCAGCTGCGGCGTGCGCAAGGTGTTATCGTGGTATCAGGTTTGGCGACCGCTGCCTTGAGCCCTGGGGGGCGTGCTGGTTTGCGATTCTTCGAGCCGGTCCACAGGGCAAGTATCTCGCTGCACAGACCGGACGTGAGAAAGGGTGCCAGGTGGTCGCACCTCCCGCAATACTCCAAGCCTTCGGTGTCTCTGCGGGTCGCCCGGGTGTTGGTGGCTGCTGACCGCGCATTCTGGTGCGTCCTACCTAGGTGCGACAGGGGCGCACAACTTAGGTTAGGCCGGATATTGTGCCTAATATGCCTGTTTCGTTCGTGCTGGAGGGGCAGGAGGGGCCTGCAAAGCTGAATTTAGGTTCTAAGATCCCTGCCGCAGCGCCTTCAGCTTAGTTCAGTACGCCTGGAAAGGAGCTGCCTGTGGTCCACGACCCTGCCCTTGCCCCGTCGCTGCCACGTATGCTGGCGTGCCAAATACGGCGCACAACCAACGAATACGCCCCCACACCCCCGACCTCCTACCCACACGACGCACGCCGGCAGCAGCACCAGGGCACCCAGCGTCCCAGCGGAGGGCACAGGCGCGCCGTCCCCCGATCTGCGTTCCTTCATCCATTCCGCGCGCCCCTCGCAGATTTGAGAGCACGCGAAGCATCTCTCGAAGAAGGCATCTCTCGAAGACAGCCACTCTGCCGGCGCTCGCACCGCGTCAGTCGCAGACCAATCCATCAAAAGGCAAGGCTTCGCCCGTGTTGGGCATAGGCGCGCGGGGGGCGTGCGCCCCCGGCTTGAGACGCATCCGTGGGGTTGATTTTGCGTTTGGTTGGGCGCGGCGCGGGCATGGGACTCCGCTGCAGGTGTCCCCTCCGGCCCAGCCGTGTGCCATCGTCGAGCTGCGGGCTGGCCTCAATCCATCGCCCCAGCAGCCTTCGCCGAAAGCTACCTTCTTCCAGGGTGTTGCGGCTGGACCGGGGCGCCACAGCGCCTGCGGTCGAACGACGCCAGGCGTCCAAACCCGTATCTCTGTGTACGTTGCCGTATGAGGCACCAAGGACGTATCCAGCGCTGCGCTGCCAGCCGTCCCTACTTGGGCGTGTCCGTGGCCTGGTGACGGCCCTGGGCAGTGCGCTGGGCTTGAGCAGTTCCCCACTGTTGTTCCCCCCACCCCACCCCTCTCCGGCGCGTTGGCAGCCGTGTTTCCTGGATGGCAGCTCGCAGAGGGTTGGACATGGGGCGCGGCCAAGGGGTAAGACGAGCCTCCACCTTGTCCATAAGTCCGGGGCAGTGCTCGAACACGGCTTTGCTTTCCGCATGTGCGATGCAGTTTTCTGGCGTGCATGCCTTGCGTTGCATGGCGTCCAGCTCCAACTACAATCGCGACAAGCACGTGCCAGTTCGGTTGACTCCACATGGCCCCAATGCAAGCCCCCTACCGTTTGGGGGAACTCAAGGCTCCCAGTGGCCCCCCAGCGCTTGCGGAATCCAGTTCATGCATCCTCTTCATGCTCCTCCCAGGACTCCTATCGGCCCACAGCCCTTGCAAGCTCGTGGCGTTTGAAATATTTTGGCGCCCTCCGTTGGGACCCGGCTAAGCGTGGCGGGCGCAGCCTCGCATCCCTTGGGCTGTCCTTCCAGTCGCAAACCTGGCGCGGAGATGCGAAGGGACTATTGCCGCAAACTCGACCTGCAGGCGCCCGCAAATGCAGTTTATTGAGCGGCCAGAAGGAAGGGATTTTGAGCTGCGAGCCCACCCACGCAACGGCAGCGGCCAAACTGAGGGGCCCAGTGCTGAGCTGGTGGGTTTCGTGGGCACCGCGGCTGAAGAACTGCCATTCGACACGGCAGGTAGATTCGGCGAAAGATAAGGCGTTTCGAAGCCGCGCTCGCGAAAAGCGACGCAGGTGTGCGAAAGTGGACGCATGTCGTGCTTCACTCAGTTTTTTTGAGGAGCTTGTCATGAGCGGCACGCTCCCGAGAGCACGGAATGCGGAAACTCAGCCCCCCCATTCGAAGAGTATATGGGCAGCAAAGAACAGGTTACGTAGCGGTCGGTCGACCCGCTGGTGGTCCAGACATCGCCATCGAAACTGCGTTCCATCAACTCTGCCAGCCAAGCTCCTTGTTGGATGCGATCTGAACTGCCATAACTAGAGCTGTTGTTACTTTGTTGATCAGATTAAAGAATGCTTCCAAGCAGCTGCATGGAGTCGCTACCTCCCTCACAATTTCAGGCTAGAAAAAGCCTTGCATGCTATTCAGATCTTCTTTTAGCCTGTCCATTTTTGTGGCTGTTTTGGGGTGTTGCTTTGTTCTCCAATTTAAGTTATGTAGCAGCAGTGCATGTTTTCACAGAAAGTGGTGCAAGGTCTTTGCTTCTTGCTTGCAACAATACAGCCCCAGCAAGTCATTCTGCTCTGTGGCAATGCAGGTGAAGGATGGTTGTGCTGACAGCCGCCAGAGAGTGGGGAATGCTCCAAATCTATGTCACTGCATGCCTATTGTGCGTGGTTGCTGTTTCAGCAGCAGAGGAAGTGGAGGGCACTGCAAGCCTTGTTTTCCATGAAGAAGTGAGCCCTGGACTTTGTTGCTACAGCATACTGCCGGCAGTGAGGCTGAAGGCACAACCAGATGCCAGCTGCTGTCAATCAAAGGTGGGAACACCTCATGCACAGTGAAGCAGAGTGGAGTGGTTGTTATGGCAATGGGCTTGCCACACAAGCAGATTTGAATTGAGTGTCAATTTGAGAACTCTGATGGCACTCGGGTTGAAAAGGCTGTGTGTGTGCACCAAGGGATGGCTGGTTGTTTGGCGGAGAGTCCAGTGCTGTGTGCACTGTCCATGCAAAGATGAGCATGGGTACAAATGTTCTACCCCACATTTTTCTCTGCATGCATTGGTCCCAGGGCCAAAACAAGACCTTTGAATGTGCAATGCAAAGATGGTCTGTGTTGAACTCTGCAGGTTGTGTTCCCATTGGTGCATGGATGACTGATTTATTCTCAACTGTGGTCGCGGGGAAGATGCATTCTGAAAGAATTGATGGCATGCCAATCAACTCACCAACAAGTCTGTCATTTCAGGGTGGGCGTTTGGCTGTATTGGCCACACGTTTCCCATATATCAACATGGTAGAGGTGCATGGCAAAGTCTGCACTGCAGTTGCCATATCTAAGACACACATCCTGACAAAGGCAAGCTGCATAGGAGCTGCGGCTGGCACGAATTTTGATCCTGGTGCTTGGAAGGGAGGTCCTGGCAGCAGTTGGACTCCAGCCCAGCAGGTGGGGCCCCTGCTGGGTATAATTGGAAATACAGTGGTGTTGGTATAGTGGAAATCTCCATTTTCTGCATTGGTTCTTGCATGGTGAATAGTCCCCTTGCTGCTGTGCACCTTCATTGTTTTCATAGTGTGTTCTTGTTCTGTAGTGGATCATAAGTGCTCACGTCATCCTTTTGTGCGATGGACAATGACTATCAAAAGTGTGGAAAAGAGAATGTAGCTGATGGTGTACTTCTGCAGTCTCTGCACTGTGTCTATGTTGTTTGTCGCATGACAAGCTTGTGCTTGCAGTTCACCTTGTGCTGGGAAGCAGTTAATTTTAGATCTGTTGTCACTTCATGCTGTGCAATATTTGCATCACTGCACCACAGCAGTAACCATTTGCAACCATCAAGACAAATGTCTAGGCTGCTTTGTGCACACTGACACAGAATGCATTTCTGCCGGCAACCCCTCCTTTGTTGTCTTTGAATGCCTTCCTTGAATGCCTTCCTATGTGCTGGGCCTGTGGGACAAGCAGGTGCACATCCATCCCAACTGGACGGGAGCCACCTACGATGAACATGACGCTGCGATCTTGACTCTGGGGGAGCCAGTTCGCGGCCAGCAAGTGGTCCTCGCTGACCCCACGTTTTGCCTTACCCAGCACTTGTCCGCTCACACAGTGTGGCCCTGGGGTGCTGAAGGCTTCCTGGTCAGTCCCCAAACTGCAGGTGCTGACCCACGGCGCTGCAGCACCCATGGGTGTGTAGATGCTACGTCTGGGGATCAGTCAGCTGGGACAGGTGAACTTCCAGGTAAGGCCCTTGATGGAACCTACTGGCGTCAAAGCAGTGTAGTGTTAGGCCTGTGAAGCTCATGAGTAGAATGCTTTGTTTTGCGATGCGAGCTGTCTTGTCATTTTCGTAGGTAGGTGATGCCAGCATGGTGCTAATGATGGCATCACATCCTGTCAAATTTGCATCACAGTTGGCGTTGCCATATGGTGTTTTCCATATTTGAGTGGTGCAGTGCCACACCTGGATGAGCAGATTTGTGGCCTCCACATATTCAGACTACGTGTGCGGCTTCATCACCAGATAGCACTTTGGCAGTGTTGACTGCTGCTGAATTTGTGTGTTGGACATATGTAATGGCTAATTTTGCAGGTGGCATATTGGTGCTGATGGAAGCTCTTTCGGCCAGCACTGCAGCCCACGGCTGTGGTCACACATCGCATGCCAACATCGAGTTAGGAAATCCAGACTTGGACTTGCTTGTGGGCATCTACGCTCTCCCTGACATCGCCTCGGACAGTGAAACTGCTGAAGAGATAACCTGGATCCCCACAATACGACCCTGGATCGAAGATGTAATTCATAGTGGGCAGCCGCCTTGCTTGGAAGGGGGGCATCTAGACCCTCCCAGCCCTTGCTCTAATGGGTGATTGTCCACTGTCGGCATACCATGTGCCTTGCAGGGTGAAATGTGCAGTTAAAATTGCAGGCAACAATACACCTGTTGGGCTGCACTGAGGAGAACTGCATTGTCAGAAATGGACGAGTGGACTATGATGGCACTGCTGTAATTGGAACTGTGACGTTGCGTGCAAGCCTTAGCAGTTGGTAATTTCTCGAGTGCGCTCATGGTGTTGGCACCCGATTGGCTCATAGATAGATGTTGACCTGGAGCTGCAAGGGCAGTGTTATTGTGGAGCAGTCAGCAATGGTGAGGAGCCAGATCCTGAGATTGTAGGCAATATCGGTGCTTTCTGACGTGCACTAGGTTGCTCTGTCTGCCCTATTCCCTTTGCACCTCTGTCTATTGTACAGCAGGAAGCCCTTCACCTTGTGGCCCCCCATTTTGACGGGCGACTGAAACAACGAAAGCGCGTCTGCTGTGCTGATCGAAATACAGAATACAGCGATCCAAGGCAGATCCACATAGAAGTGTGCGTTCTTGTGCGCACTTGCATGAAAGCATAAGAAATTGCATGGTACGAAGCGGAAAGCTGGATGGAGAAAGTTTTCAAGACAGTGGTTGCATGACCCATGATATGGCCACACGTGCTCCCCATCCACTGGTCTTTCAACGAACTTGTTATGTTCCTTTCCTCTGCCAACAGATATCAAATACCAAGCTTGTCCAAACACAGGTGCAGCTTGACTATGGCGCAGTTCCATCCCCGACGTATTTTTTGCCCAGGGGGGGGGGGAGACCATTATCATCCTCAATATTTAGAGAGGACCGTCGCAATGTCCGTTTCGTCGAGTGAGTTATAAAATCGAAGTCCTCCAGTGATATGCGACGGCCCCGCTTTTGCGTACTTGGCGCCTGGCAGGTCGGCATAGTTTCTTCTCTTGTACTTGTCCCCACCCCCGCCCCTACCCCCCAAAAGAGCACTTCTCCTGCAAAAGGGGACGATCGCACACTGCGCATATTCTCTCGAAGGCGACAGCCGGGTCCGCCAACGGGAGGCCGCCCACCCTGGGGCGGGGGGGTGGCTTTGGCAAGCCAGGAGTGCGTGTCCAAGGGCGCTGGCGGCAGGGTAGGTGAGTTGGGCTTCCATCCAAAAGCGGGCGTGGCACCCCACGGGCGGCGTACATCACGGTCGCATTCCAAACGCGCTGCGCAAAGATGTGACCAAACGGGCTTTGGCGGGGCCTCCATGGCACGAGAGTGTGCGCGCCCATAGGAAACCAGGGAGCGTGGAAGCGGTGTGTCCAGAGGGAAAGGGATGCGTTTGAGCGATCCACTCGGAGAGTGACCGCCAGTATCTCTACCGACAGACGGACGAGTGAAGACTTCAAGAGCTGTGAACCGCGCCAGATTACGGTGCGTCGGAGAAGCGGGCTTGGACATTCGATTTCTGTGTCCAAGCTCCCAACACAGCGAGTTTGATGCAGTTCTTGATCTGGCAATGTGTCTACGGACCGTCGACATGATTTAGCGCGGTTCAGTGTTGCTGTGGCCGAGCGCTCGCACTTGCGAGGTTGATACGTTCGTTGATCTGTTCGGCGTGCACGAACCCCAGAGACCTTTGGGGGGAAGGGTTGTACAGCATGCAGCGACGCAGGTGTCAGGTGGCCGCCCTGGGCAACGCCTTGGGTTGAGTTGAGAACGTAAGGAGGCCTCGTAAATGCCCTGACGAAGGCTGTTCGGCGGAGCCGCAGGTGCGTTGCCCTGTGTAGCAGTTCTCGACGGTAAACAGCCATATGCAGGTGCTCACGAAGGTGGATGCAAGAAAACGTTTGCATGTGCAGTGCACTGTCCCAAACTGAGCACGGAAACCCTAGCCTTTAGAAGTGTCCCAAAATGCGGCAGAAATTGATCGGCAAAAGGATAAGGCTGCATAACACTCACGGACGTGGCATGGCTGCAATGGTGCTGGGGAAGTCTCATCATAACCACCCCTTTGTGATCCCCACAATACCCCTGTCGTCATGGGAAGGCTTGCATGTTGGTCAAGCGTTGTTGGATGGCTTGAGTAGTGGGTGCCAATGGGAGGGTTGTCCCAAGTATTTTGTCATTGGTGCATGTTGCTTTTGAAGCAGCATAGGTGTGAATCCTATGTAAGAGACCATCAACTTTGGCTGACGTTGGATGCAAGCTCTTTGCTACTGTGCAATGGCTGATGTGTTCCCAATCTGAAGCTAAGAAAAAGGCTGGCATCCCTCAAGTACGGTGGTGAGATGCAGTGCTGTTGTATAATGGCTACTGGATTACACACCGTGATCCTATGGTTTAGCATTGCTGGATGCACGAGCTCCTGTTCCTTTATTGTGAACACAATCAAAATTTGTAGTGGTGACTGCACTGCAGCCTACAGGTCGCCACTGTCACATTGACTCAGTGGCAGGTAGCCAGCCACACCTGGGGCTGCATTTGCCAAGCATTGGGGCACATGCCAATCATCATGTGTTTGGATGCAGATGTGAACGCAGAGCGGCAGCACCTTTAGCTTCTGATGAAAAAGCATTCCTGCCCATTGAGGTGCATCATACACTTCAATTTGAGAACTTGTTGTCACAAAGAATGATGTCCTGTTGTGCATAGATATTCAGGCGATATATGTTGTTGTACAGTGGCTATATGTGGGTGCTTATGGTCGTTACGCAGGTGAGTATATGGGGCGGTGCCTCAATGGGACACTACTGCAGTGCATCCAAATGAAGCATTTTCTGAATCATCTAGTCTGAAGACACTAGCGGGCGAGTATGCCACTGTGCGGTTTGTTAGACTGCTATATCAGTGCCACATGTTTGCCTGAATGGCCTTATTGGTATCTCCTTCCTTTCTAGTTCCTTCCTCTCCACTTTTAATGTGAAGTGTTGGTGTTGTTGTGGTGAATGTGTTCTGTTTTCACTCACAAGAGCACGCTGGTGAGTTGTGCCAATGTGCAGGTGACCAAGGCCCATGCAACAGCCCAGTCCGGAGCCGGGATTGATGAAAAGGAACTGCCACCAGTTCATATGAGCCCCTGAATATTTGGGCACTTCGAGCGGTACTCTGGCGTGGAGTTGACAACGCAGCAGTTATGTGGGTGTGCAAACGTGTGGCCTTTGCCTCCTGTAGCTGCTGCTGTTGTTATATGCGTCAATGGGAGCAATAGTTAGGATAAGTATCAACCAAGCGCAATTCGCGGGAGCTCCGAGCGTATGATGGCGTCACTTTGTTCACATTTGGCAATACGGCAACGGATGGTGGCGTGTGCGTCCCAGCTCTTAGTCAGTGGAAGCTGCCGCCCTGGATAGAAAGCTCCAGTCAGGAGCTGAGTCGTCGTTGAGTCATCGTTGAGCCGCTGTTTTTTGCTACCCCGCTTATGGAAACTTTCAGCAGCGGTGTTGCAGCCACACAGGTGACCGTTGCCGCACAACCGCAAGGAACTTCTGTCTGTCATTCGAGAAAACGTGGTGTCTGACAGATTGGAACACGGCCTCCCAAATCCACGATTGTGGCTGCGAGCGAGCTCCCCTGAGTGCCAGAAGATATTCGATTGGGATATTGTTCAAACACCACATAGGGGTCGCTGTGCCCCCGAAAAACACAGCTGTGCAGACGCAGCCAACGCGGCTCACAGCACACGCAGAGCGACCCGTTGTAGTAATTGACGTCTGTGCCGCGGAGTTTTAGGCCCAGCCGCGCACTTACAAATACATGGAGCCGCGTTCATGGTCCCTGTTCCTGCTGCGCCACTACCTCACACGACGCCTTTTCGGACAGGACGCAAGGTGCGTGACACTGAGGCTGTCAGGTACGAGGTTGTTCGCTCCGTGCTGTGCTCACGACGGGCTGGGAACTGCCGCAGTCCGACTGCAGAGCACTTTCGTCCCGACGCGCCTTGCCCTATGGCCGCAACACGCCAATCCTCAGCCTGACGCGGCTCCTGCCGTGCTGTATTGTCGCTTGCTCAGGCGACCTCAACGGATCGGGGAACGACTCTTGGCAGTGGACCCCGCCCGTGGGGAGATCGCGGCCGCACGTCAGCCTGCTGTTGACCCAAGACAAGGTTCGGGCCACTGCCCCATCTAGCGAGACTCTGGCCGCAGTGCCGTCAGCGAAGGGCGCCCGTGCCACAGTTTTTTTCTGTTTTATTCGTGCTGTTTTGCCGCACCGGCGATTCCGCAACGGGGAAATTTGCTGTCTCCAAAGCAGACGACAAAATTTCCGTGCTGGACAGAGACGCCTGGCGTGCACGGCACGGTCGTCGCCGTTCTATTTTGTCTTCTCCTGGCGTGCCAGAGATGGCCCAGCGGAGGAACCCGCTGTGTTCAAAGCATGGGGAAATTCTTCGCGTTGGGGATGACGGCTTTGAGTCAACCAAGAGCAGAGTGAGAGGACTCCCACTCCGGAACGGGAAACTTGGGCCCGTTGTTCCACCCTCCATGCCCGCCCCGCCACACAACGGAGAGCTTCACTCTGGGTGCCCAGTCGGCTCCACGCAGGCGCGGCCCCAAGATCCCAAATCCGGATCATCTGTTCTTTACGGTACAACTTATTTTGAGATGCCTCAGGAACTGTCTTCCCGCAGAGGCTTCCTGACTGGCGTGCAGTGTTGGGAGCTGCGCAGTTTGCCTAGGATGACGACCACTCGTTGTGCGCAGCCCGAAGACCGCCCCTGTCTTGTGCGCCCTCCCTGACTCCGCCGCTGCGTTCTGAAGGTTTTCCTGTTGCTCATTCCAACCAGCGCAAACCCTGGCTTGACAAGGCTTGCGGAGGATGTACAGGGCATTGAAGATCGGCTGACTCTCCTTGTGGGATGCGGCAACGTCACGAACAACGGACGTCCCGCGTGTTATCGGCAAACATCACACTGGTCACAATTGCGATGCGCGATCACTCGTAGGCGTTTGTTCTCGGCGTATTCACCCTTTCCTCAACTCATTGGGCAATGTTGGGCGCATTGCAAGGGCACATTCGCGTTCTTGTTCCCATCCCATACATGCAGCCTTAGGTTGGCGCAGCCAAAATTGGCAGAAAACGGGCAAAAAATTCGCTGGCGTAGTGCTTCGCCAGCCCCCTACCCAATCCAAGGCAAATTTGCAACCAGTTCTTGACAAATTTCGGCTGGCACTGAAGCGCATTGTCCCGCTTTTGCAGTGAGTGTCCAATATGGTCCAGGATGACTTGATGTGTCATGGCGCAAGTGGGCACTGCAGCCATCGCTAAATGCAAATGTGCACAATGCACTTGATCATTTGCTCAAGCATCGGCTGTTTTCATCGAATGGCTCGTTTGCCTCCTACCCAGACCAGTTGTGTGCTGCTTGCTCTGCTTGCCCCACAGTCACAGTGAATGCGTGCGTATTTGGCCAACAGATTATCATCAAGTCTGTCGTTTGCACGTGTTGGCCTCCTGTGCATGCCAGTTGGGAGTCACACTGACGGTCGCTCTTCCGTTGCCAATGATTAGCGGCGCTTAGAGGCAGTTACTCATCCAGAACGTCCCCTGTCAAAAGACTGCGATGCAAGCACTATGCCCACCATTCTGTATGGCCCACATTTTTGTGCACCTGATTCCATTGCATGTGACACAAGCAAAGAATTGGTTCAGCCATTTGTCGTATTATCTTATTGTTCTCATGTCTTGCAGCAGTCATCGCTGTGCCGACCGAGTAGACTCTGTCAGTGGTCGATTGCAGCATGTGCGGAGCTGTACTCTGTGCACAGTATGAGCTGCTTTATTAGACAGCAGTACATTGCCCATAATTAGTAAGGAATTCAGGAGAACTTCCAGAAAAGTCGAGCTTCTGATGCTGGCATACTTTGTGGACATCATTGTCAGCAAGTTTACGTTCAAGCATATGAATTCTAAAAATTTTCCGACGTGTAAACCCACAGAATAAACATATCTATGCGGCTGTTTTCATTGACAAGTCTCGGGTATATTTAGGCCACATATTGCCAATGACACACAAGGCAATACCAATGACATTGTGACTGACTTTGGTGGACCGTCGTGCACCGACGTGACCACCACCTGTCCGCTTTAGACTCTCACAACACCTCGACCAGCATCGTTACAATGCTCGGAACTGTCTCATCGTGCTCCTGGTTGTCTTGACACAACGGCTTCTGCATTCGTACAAGCGAAGGGGCAATGTGTGAAAATTTCGCTCCTCTTTTGAGGTGCAAGTGCCTTGCCTATGACAGGGGTGTTCCTCGGTCGTAGTGCACTGAATGCGTGCATGTTCCCGACTTCGGAGAGACGCCAAGCGGGACGATTCTATTTGCCGTATTGCTCCGCTGTGACCCGCGGATGGCGACTTGACAGTTCTTGCTGGGCGCCACTGTGCACGTGTCACCTGCTTTGCATGAGCGGAATGCCATAAGAGTGCACCGCCTCGCTCCCAAAAGGGGACGCTGTGTTCTGACCCACGGGTTTCAACTGACGCTTCGCACCTGGCACAATCGTGACAACATGACACGAGCCCGGCGGTTGTTCTCTCGAGTGTTGTGCTCAAATTAAGCAAAAATAGTGGCGTGGCACGAGAGAAACGCCGATGTCAAACATGACCGTCTTTTACAGAATGATGGCGGGCAATGTGTCGCTGCTTGCGTAGTCACAGCTTCGAACAGCTTGAGCTTCGTCGTAAAGGTCCGTCGTTGTCCGATCGAAATGAGCAAAGTTACCGCCAGCGCGTGAGTGTGCACAGGGAGCGCTGCTCGTGTCGTACCAATGCTGATGCACGAACTGGCAGCGCCTGTGTATGAAGCGCACTCTCCACACTTGGCTCCCAGTGCCGTACCATTGACAGTGCCCCGCGGGGCAAATCTGTCTCCCAGGCACGCGTGTGCGTCGTCGATGCAGCCCCTCGTGGCCCGGTGGGAAGCGGTACAAGTCGAATGATGGCGCTGATTAAGCTCCAACAAGTGCATTAGTACATTCCAGTTACTACAACAGCCGACGACGCAGAGGTGTCGTAGCAAAATGCGACTCGCTTCACGCGGATGTTGTGGTCCCAGGATCGCGATGTTCGTACCTCAGCATCGTCCATTCTCTCACACCTTCGACCACTGACTCGACGTCATGTGCTCCAGTCCTTGTGGTAGAGTTTCATTTTGGCACAAAGCACACCATTGACGAGCCATCGCATAACGCAGATTCAGTTGCTGATTGGCTGGTTCTTTTCGCTGCAGCATTTTGATGTTACATTTCAACAAGCAGGGAGTGGTTTTAGCAGTGCGCGGCCTCTGATCAGGCTGTGAGCGCACGTCTCCGGCCGCGGGACCCATGGGCCCTTGACGCCCGGCAGGACGAGCCAACTGCACCGACGCCGGCGAGCGAAGCGCAAAGCAGCCAAGCCCCGGGCCGACCCTGTGGACTGCCCCGCGTTTGGATCGGCTGGGGGGCCCTGCATGCTGCCCAGGGGCGGATTCACCTGCACCGGGCTCTCCTAGTCGTGTGTTCCTGTGGCATCCCCGCTTTGTTCTCAGGGCTCCTCGCCTTGACGTTGCCAGCGATCACCGGTAGGTTCTGTCGTGCTGCCGCTCCGTGAACTGCGCTTCTCGCTCCTGGCGGCGGCTGGGGAAAGTACGTTGTCGACGTCTTTCCAGGGCGAAAGGGCCACCTGCGGACCTGTGGGCAACGGTCCCAGAACTGTCCGTTCGTCAAAGGTTTCTGTGTTTGTGCGCCACCGGCGCGAATTGCCGTTTGGAGGTGGCCGTGCGCCTCCAAAACTGCGGGAAGGGAGCCCGCTGTTGATGGGCAAGCAGAAGTGCGGCTGCAGCTGGCGGCGGCTGCTGATCATGGAACGCTCCACAGTATTCGCCTGGAAACCGGTTCCTCAGACGCTTAGCGTCACATGTTCACAATCGCACTTGACTTGCGGCGTCGTGCCGCGGCGATAGTCGTGGCCAAACAGCGCAGCTTGCGCGAGTCTGCCTAGGACGACCCCAGTGATGCGTTAAGAATCGCTGCATGTGTAGTGGGCCAACGGGGCTCCCAACCTGAAGAAGGGATCCCTTAGCCTCTTTGGACCCACCAGAAAGGCAGCGGGAACCGCAAACTGATGGAAAGGGGTCCTCTGGCATTTCTGGGCCCATTTGTGAAGCCAGTTTTTTCGAACCTTGGATCAGAAACAGCCAAGGCCAGGAAAGCTGGAACCTAGCAGGGAGCGAATCAGGCATTAGCTGACACCGAGCGGCCACAACCGTCACTAAATCGTCAACCGTTGCGCGATGATAACGAGTGTGGCGATGATTTGGTGGTGAAGTCGCCGGAGGCGCCCAGTGGTAGCGAGAATTTCAACAAACACGCCCACAGGTACCACTTCAACCATGAGGAATCCGGCTGTCGAAGCCATGGCGCTGTTTTCTTGGATGATATGCATGCTGGTGGTCGTCCATGGCGTCCTCGCAGCGAGTACTCTCTTGTCCACGGCAGCCCACTACCCCAAAGAAAACGATGGTGAGACCCCCACTCATGCACCCCTTGATTCGGATGTGCACTGCATCTGCACGTCTCTTTGTGGACCATCTCCTTCGACTATGGTGAATTGCTTTTTCACAATTATCGATTTCAATGGTTGCCCATGTTGACCTCATTCTTGGCCGTCTTCTTGGTTAGCATCAGCCTTCCAAGCCTTGGCGCAGCTGCCAAATCAATGCTTTTGCCCTGACCAAGGTGTCTCTTTGCCTTTGGCCATGACACTTGCACGATTCTGTTGCAGACACCAACCCTTTGCCTCACTCATGCTGTCTAGAATATAGCCATATTGTCAGCCAACATCAAACCACCATGTCATAACTCTCTTGTAGAGCATAGCTGAGCTCGGTCGACCTCCAAGGGCCATCCAAGCTTGCCATCCTCCACCCCAGGTCCTGACAATATGCCAAGTCACATTTTAACTTCTCTTGGCATTTTGCAGAAACAATTGTGCCATTTGCTGTGTTTGAAGGCTCTGTAGATAGCTCTTGATACAGGGCGTTGACCGTGTTTTTTCAACCTTTGAACTTGCATGTTTGACCTCGTTTTGTGCAAATTGGACAAAAAATTAAGACTTTAGTTACAAAAGTTGTATCAACAAATTATTTGTTCGTACTTTTTGAGTCTTTTCCAGTTGAGCCAATGGCGTTTGGTTGTTCCACACTGATTTCCTCTATTTACTTGGCAGTGTCATGCTACAGTGAAGCTTCAGATAAGGTAGGTTGTGTGGGCAATCAAGTGATATTGTTCAAATATACAAATGCATGAGAGTATGAGGCCAAGTGGTAGTGAAAGAAAGACATAGGAATGCATGTATTTTCTCCATCTCGAAAGAATGGAGGCTACAAAAAACCAGCAAAACCGGTGATAGATTCCATCAAACGTAAATAATGACATCAAAAGCAGAAGTGCTAGGTGCCAATACTTTAGGAACCGCCTTCATCTACCACAGAATTAGATCTCAGGCTGTATCATAAATAACTACCAAATCCTCAACCCTTAACGGATTGACTTGAAATTTTCACAGTATACTCTGAAAACATAGGCACAACCTTGGAGACATTTTCATTGAAAAAGGAAGAACTGGGGATGGAGAAGTGATGTGCCAAAGTCATAGAGGACATTTAATATTGGATTGAGGAAGTCAAACATATGGTATTTATGACATAAATGGTGCAATAAGATACTTCGTGACATATACTTCCCCAATCCAAAATTAATTGTCCTCTAATTCAAAAATGAATTTCGGTGCAAGAATGGGTTTTGAATTACAAAATAAGGTCAGAATTAGCAAGAGTATGTCCCAAAATCTTTGATTACCAAGTTTTCAGAAAAATCAATCGCTCTCCTTTCAGGATGCCCTCAAAATTGGCAAAATTCCCTCAGAAAACGTGCATTTTGATTCTACGTTCGCTTGAGAGCTATGCGCTTGTGGGTTCTCTCTTTTGAAGTATGCCAAATATTATTCCATGTGAGGGATACCTCCCTTCACCACAATATGCAGCAACCACTTTAATTTGACAAACGTGCTTGACTATGTTGGCTATTGCCGTAGTAGAATGGCATCATCATAGCTCTAGCATTGTCCTAAATTTTTGCCATCCTCAATCCCTAGTGTCTAGACCTAAGACAATTGGAAAAGGCTAGGATCCAAATATTGTGGCCTAGGTCCGGTGCAAGGTGTGGTCCATGGTTGTATTGTAGCCTTGATTGGATAGTTGCCTTCATTGAACGGTTGAATCAAGGCTCTTGTGCATAGCTTGCCTAATAATCGAGAGGCAGCCACTAATGGCCAGCTCTTATTTGCAGCCCACAATCCACGGTGGCCTAGTGAGTTTTTGTTACTTCAAGAGATGTGACTTTCCCTATTTAGCTAGTCTTTTCACTATCAATGCTATTAAATGCCCATGAAGGGTGGAATTTGCCATTTCCGTGCTAGGCGCCATTCCCCACATCGTCTACCACCAACTAGGTGGGTGCCAGTCGCCTTCTCTTGCACCTCTTTGGGGTTTGGCAGGCCTCTTGCGGCATCCCTCATGGCGGCGATAGAGGTTGAAAAGTTGTAGCCCGGAATTTGGGTTCAAAAGGTACCTTTGAATTGGTCAATTAGTCCTGAACTTGAGTTGCAGCCATGGCAAGTTTGGCAATTGGGCGCTTCAGGATAGAGTGGCTGCACTTGGGCACCATTTGGTCTATTACTCAGGGTGACCCATCCATTCATTGATATTTAGTCCGTATTTCTCACACTACCATCCGTGTCATCCGGCTCTCATTGTCTTTTGGCTGTTACTTATTGTTGAATGAAGGCATATGCTGTGGGCTACCTGGTCCATAACAGAATATGCATTGGCTCAAATGTTTGGTTGCTATTTGCCCATTGTGTCCTCACACTATGTGATACGAACCCTGGTTAGGAGATCCAATGGGAGAATAAACAAGTCATTAGAAGGTACATAAAAGAGATGCACCACAATATACATTGCCCAAGGGCTTTGGATGTGGTTGTGCGTGGAACCTCTAGCATATTCTTGACACTGGTGGATTCAAATTCCAATGAACACAAATTCTTAGCACATCATAATGTGTTTCGGCCTTGCCCCAAACGTGGTCGATTTGAATCATGTTGGATCGCCATTTTCAGTGCATTATGATGTGCTTTGGCCCCACCCACAAATGTGGTGCATGTGAAGCATGGAGAAACAATATGGTGGAAGGGCGTGGCAAGTGCACGTGGCTCTAGCATTTAGAACAAGGTGGTTTGTCCAACGACAGGCACCCTAGGAGTGCCTCTTCGTGGGGTGCCCACTTCCACTACCCATGGGAGCCAAGATTGGCCCCCATGGTGGTAGGAATGGGCACCCATGACGTGCCATTCTTTTGACAACTTTGATGCCCTGTGGCTGCTCACTCCCATCGCCCATGGGGGCCTTGCCTGACCCCCGCGGGTACCAAAAATAGATGTTGGCGACCTTGGCAAGACGGCATGTTGTGGGTGCCTATTCTTGCCATCTTTTGAGGCCATCCAAAGCTCCAAGGATGGCGGAAATGGGTGCTGACGAGGTCACATCCCCATGATGTGCAAATGACCCCCCCAAAAAAGAAGAAAAACAAACTCGCCCGGACCACGAAAGTGCATCTGAAGAAATGCACCCACCTAATGTCATCATGTTGAGATGCTTTGTGAGCCAAACCATAGATATTGCCCTTTGTGTCATGTACACCACCCACTGTGTGCCATAGCACCGTCCTCATTCTATTTGTGGTAGGCTTGCATACCGGTATTGTTGGTGAACGGTCCATTGTCATCTGCCAATCGAGCAAATCACATGTGGGCTGCCTGGTCTGTAAAATTATAACCATCAATGCCGCGGGCCTATCCCCATGTCCAGGGGTTTGGCGGCGGTGGCAGCTAACGCTCGTGCAATGTCAGCCCTTTTGGATTTTCGTCCTCCGTCTTTAACGGATACTAGCAGATAGGCCCCCGTCTGCTATTAACAGATCTGGTGGCCACCTCTACTTTAGGATATGTTTTTTATGACCTCGCTTCTATGCAAGCACCTCTCTGATCATCGTTCCCAGTGGTGCAGATAGTTTTTGCATGGGTGGCTGTGTTTTGCTGTCACAAAAGCATGCTCCTGCCCAACGCAGACAATGGCCATTTTGCTGCCACGTCCAAAAATCGACGTTCTGCTGGAGGACCCTTGCTATAAAGTGCTGTCAAATCCACAATACTTGATGAATTCTCCTCAAGTTTTGAACATATAGTTTAAACTTGTGGACACAACTTTGGGCTGAATTCCATTGAAATCAGAAAATCCTGTGTTTTAGAAGTGAGGTGCCAAAGTCGGAGAGGACAATCATTTTGAGATAGAGGAGACACAACACAATAGATTATATAAATGGCAACGTTGTGATTTTTCATAATGCAACGTTTTAAGCGATTTCTGAGGGAGGCACAAGTTTAACATCAATGCAGCATCACATCACAAGAGGCTTCAGTTAAGGCTTCCCATTGTGCAACCGACACATCTATTGAGCCGCTAATCAATGCCCATGACGTTTTTGTTGCAAGTTCATCAAGATGGAGTATTTGCTCAATGCTGCATTGGGGATGACTTTCCCATTGATCTGTTGAAAAATCTTTTGCTTATATTTGTCTGCAAGAGAAATAAGCCTCAGGCACCTTACCTGATGGTCGAGGTGATGATGGAGATGTAGACATCTAAACCATTGTTCATGCTCCCATCCACTCATTTATTTTGCTTGCTACCAGTCTATGGCACTCACAGATGGTGCTCAAAGAAGGGTGAACAGTGTTAGAATCCAGGATGTCAGCGCATTATTGTCATGCACCTTAGAAGTAGTGTCTAGATATTACAGGATGCTATATCAAATGATTTAGATGTGGATATTGCAACTCGATCCTTCGAACTAGCAATAGAGTTGCAACAGCTCCTAGAGGTGGACGATTGGGTGAGGCCACCAACCACAATGGATGCCTGGAGAAGAGGGAGTTTGAACATGATGGCCATGGTGGGTGGATTCACTATCAACTGTGGTGAATGGACTAAAGGCTGTTGGACATGGTTGACATGTGGTGTGGAATGTATCATTGTCCAAGTGTTGTTTGTGAGGGAACTATGCTGTGCAAAAGTGTCGCATGTGTGTGGCATGATGTGTCATATGGGCAATGTGGAAGAATGAAGTTTTCACGGCCATCTGACAAGGTGGTGCGGTTGTGTCACAGGACCAGAAAGTTCACGCCCTCAAGGAAGTTATGGGCCCTGTCCACCACCACTGACACACAGCAACGTCATTAATACCTGTTCAGCCATCACTGCTAGCCACTGCCTCCACCAGCTGCACCTTGGCCTGCTGCCCATGTGATGTTTCCCTTGGTAGACAGGGAGAACACTACACCACACATGTACTTCGCAGTCCACCCCCAAAAGTGTCGACAATGGGGGCATGTTGAGCATCCTTCAATAGGGCGATTTAATGCAGCAAATTAAGCAGCACTCTTGTGCACATTTGTGTGTGGTGCTTAGTGCTCTGACACATCTTTGCCCACAAAAATATGAATCCTCTCATGATGACACTGCTTTGGAAGTCAAAGGCCAAGTGTGTGAATGCCAGGAACACCATGCCCACAGCATAGGACGTTGCTGACGATGATTTCAGCCCAAAGGCGGGCAGTTTGGTGGAGGCATGTATGGGAAGATGTTTTGTGGTGTCCAGGATACCTTGGTTCAAGCACCCTATTCTAGCCATATGCATAAACATGAGCCAAGCAGCATACAAGACATTTAAAGATGCGAGCCTTGCAGTGCTGCCAACACCTGCCCCAGATATTGGAATTCGTTGTAAAACCCTGTGGGGGTGGCCTCCTTACCAGGTTACATGCGGGTTAGGGAAGCACACCAACTACCCAGGTACTGCCAATGCTTGGGCTAGGACATGTACTCCACAGATTTTTATCAACTATCAGTATCAAACTCCTGGTTGTGCATTGTTTCAAGACGGATCAGGCGACTTCACACAAAGGGTGGCGATTCCACTAGGATGCCCGGTCATTTGATTGGCTGTGTATTTTTGGATGCCTAATCACTTGATGTTTTTTTATTATTATTTCGCCCCTCTGAACGTCCGGACCCGCTTTCTTCCCTGCGGTGTGGTTCAATGTCGCTCGGTTCTGCAGTATTCTGGCAGCCCACAGCACCCTTGTGGCGCCATCAAAGTCCCCATTCCGATAGTCGAAAACACTGGTGCAGCATGGGCCACTCTATCCCCTTACACGCTATCCCAGCTGCACACCCCTGATAGATTGGAGATGTTGTGATTTGCTGCTGGCAAGCTCCCAGGCCTGCCCACCATGCCCTGTACTTGCACTTCCAAAATCTCCTTCAAGCTTGCCAATGGTTGAATGAGCAGGCGACCTGTGGAATCGCTTCCTCGCAGACACTCCAAGTTGTGGCTCCCTTAAGGGCCATGGTCCCAACGTCATGGGGTCCAATGATCCATGATCCGTGGGGCTGGTGCAGGCGCCTGTGCTTTGCAAGTTGCTAGCAACTTTGCCATGCACTGGCAGCTGCAATGCATGCCATGGTCTTGATGGGCTCCAAGCGGTGGTCAAGGCTGAGGGTGGGCTGCACTGGGTTGCTTCTGATCAGCAACGGCTGCTGTCCAAATGCTGTCAGAAGGCAACGCCGGAGCCAAACCTCTATACTCTTGTCGAAATTTTGAACTCCCAAAGGGAGAAGGAGGTGCACATTTTGCCAACACATGGAACCACATAATGACGATACCTTGGTAATGTTGTTCGATGTTAACAATTTATCCACAGCCACCTGAGCTTGCCTACCTGAAGGAGTAATTGCATACAGTCATGTGCTATGCAACCACAGTTATTCATTCATCAATTATATATATATATATATGTTTATATATTTATTTATTCATTCATTCATTTATTTATTCATTTATTTATTTACTTATTCATTTTTTTATTTTTTATTTTTTATTTTTTATTTGTTGTTTATTTATTTATTTATTTGTTTGTTTATTTGTTTATTTGTTTATTTGTTTATTTGTTTATTTGTTTACTTGTTTACTTGTTTACTTGTTTATTTGTTTATTTGTTTATTTATTTGTTTGTTTGTTTGTTTGTTTATCTAGTTAGTTAGTTGTTTGTTTATGTATTTAGTTAGTTATTTAGTTGCATTCTAAATTGGTAGTATGCGATTATTCGTTTATGTATACAACTTAAGGGACCTGTGTATAGAGAGCGATCCCTTGCAGGCGAAAAATATCCATTGCAATACTCAATATGTCCTTGGTGCCAAGTGCTGCAATGGGTCACGAATTTGCGATTTTCAGCTGATCACTGTCCGTGTGTTGACAGAATCCCTGGCGGCCAGCACCTCAGAACAGATTTCCATGGTTTGTGAGCATACGAGGGCGGAGCAGGGAGCACTTGTGTGCTGGGATGCTCGTTGAAAAGCGCTATGTTCTTTCCTCTGCGTATTGTATAGACATTGTCGGCCCCAATCCTATTCTTGTAGTAAGCCCAACGGGTCTAATGGATGATCGTTGGACTCCAGGTGTTCAGGTATGTGAAACGTTTTCCATTCATTCCAGTTTGAGTGCAGTGCATTTGTATGAGAGTTAATGTTTGGTCTACATTTCTTTCTGAAGTTGATTGGTTACTTATTCAGCATTTACTTTTGAATATGCTCCTGGATGGCAACACTTCGTATCAGCAATGTGGCAGCTCTTTCCGAAGGATTGTGCCAGTGAGTCCCTCAGAATCTGTTGCGTGGCCATGATTCAACTTCATTGACAGAATTACCCTTTGCAAAATACCGTGCTTGGCCTTTCCCATATCTATCCACTGCACAGCACATTCAGGCATTTTCTATATCATCTATGGAATTTCGGCTTGTTTCGTGTTGTCTTTTTTGCCGCACAATCTCTGTTTTATCATATGGGCATCTCAATCCACAAAGCAATTGTGTTCTCATTCATGCCATGAACCTCAACGTCTGTCTCTGTTCTTCCCAACAGGAAATCAGGGCAGAAACGGCCATCATACATCCCCAATGGACTGGGAAGGTTGAACACGGGCATGATGTGGCACTTCTCCGGCTCCCTAGGCCCCTTGACATTGCAACTCCTCGACTCGCCTCTGTCAAGTCGAGGAGCCAGGATGGAAAACCTGAGGTTCAGCCCAATGCGATTGTGTACTCATTCAGGCTTGGCCATGTTCTCGAAGTTGCGCAGTTCAAGGTTGTGGCTCGTGCGTCATGCCCCAATTTGACCAGCCTTAGCACTGATTCGTTCTGCATTCACTCCAAGGTTGCATCAGGATGTGAAGGTGGGCACCCTACTTCATGTTGCAATGGAGGTATTGGCTTTCTGAGTACACACACACAGACTATTAGCTGCTAATATTGCTCCCGCTCTACTTGTAATACTTACCAGGCATGAATGCAAGCATGGCAACATGCACAACATATTAAGAGACTGGTCCGCAACACATATAGTTGATTCATTGGCAAGGCAGAATTTGCCAACAAATGCAGTCATGTGTGCAATCAGCTTTTTGTGTGGACATATGTACTCATTATGCATATTAAAAATGGCACAAGCGTGTGAACTGCTGGAAATATATGCTTGTTCCAGTGTTAGTCAATTGGCCATGTCAAGAAATGAAATTGGATTTTGCTCAGACACAAAGGAGGCAACAAAAATTTCCATGTGGTTGATTCAGCTTGACCATGTTCAGATCCTTCCCAAAGAAAGCCATCAACGCACAATATTGGAGATGCTTGAATTGCTGCCCTGCATGATCTACAATGCGTAAACCTTCCACAAGTGGTAAAAGATCGAATTTCAAAATGTTCAAGCCTCTGCTCTGTGTGGTCTGTCACTCCAAGGCCATTTAGCAACCTTGCTTGGACATTCTGCCTTTATTTATGCTTGAATCCAGGCTCTCGTGTGCAGCTTGGCCAATAATCTACAAACGCCACTGGTGATCAGACCTTACATGTCGTTTACAATCCATCCCAACCTAGTTGGTCCTTGTTCATTTCAAATTCCGCAACAAAAAAAATCTACTCTCATCTGATAGGGCATTCCGTAAAGGTTGACTGGTAAAGGAAGTGATGGTCATCACCTTTGCTTGCACTTTGGAGGGTTTTTGTGGACCTTCCCCAGTTGCCCTCACAATGGCAACGAAGGTCCAATAGTCGCGACTCAGAATTGCAGGCTCGAAAGGCAGCCCCAACCTGTCAGAGTGGTCTTGAATTGCAGCCAAAGCATGTTTCATGATCAGATTCTTCTCACCGCATTTCTTTTGTCTTGGTTTTTCTTGCAAGGACTATATTGACCTTTCGTCTGCCTAATGTAAGTAGTTCCGCATAGGCGGCTTCGCTTTTACACCACAAATTCGTGCTCCTCAGTATTACCAAATAATGGTCCTTTTCCCGAGACATTGAAAGATTGAGTTTTTTGTTCTGAGAAGCTCTCAGGTCGGCGCTGGTCACCTGCTACTGTCCGTTAAATACCATAACGTATCTCTGGTTTTGAACATATGGTACCATATTTTACCGTTTTCACCATTTTGATCATTGATCATGCGATTTTAGCACTTGGTTACGATTTTATTTGGTTTTCTGATTGCCTGTGCTGTTGTTTTTTGGTTTCTGTGCTTTAACCGTTTTAGCCATGCTTCTCTGCCGCTCCCTAGGCCCCAATTTTCCGCCAATTTACGGTTATTTAATGGATGGTAGGCACTAGCAAGAAAAGGACCACATAGCACTTTTTTTTGCGAACATGTATGTATGCATTTCATCAGTTTTCTGCATGCTAAAAAATGAAAATAACACAAATGCGTAACTTTCTACACGTTTGAATGCATGTTTTTTGGCCCTTTTTTCCTGGTAAGGGCGGACCGTTGCTTAATGAATGGTAGGGCCAATCTCTTTTGAGAATACTTGCCACAAAGCAATGCCAAATCCGCAATACTTCAAGGGTTGACATTTTCTGGAATAGAATACTCCAAACTTTTGAGCACAACTTTGTATGAACTTTTGCTGAAACCTAGATTCTCCACATTGAAGAAAGTGATGCGCCAGGTCGCAAAGAGTCGACATCTGTTATCAACAGAAGCAACAACGGTGCTACCATTGCAATATTTTACATAGTGATTTGTCAATTCTGCAATGTAGTTGAGCTTGCAACTTTCCATGTGCTTGAACGTGATAAAAAACTGTGCACCGAAAATGTGTGTCGGAAATGTGCAAGGAACAAACCATTCAAATGCGTGATTTTTTTGTCAACTTGGGATAGATGAAACCTGTGGCCAATGCTGTTGACCCTGCATCTTTTGATTCACGATCTGGCAAACACGGTAAGTGATGTATGCATATATGGTTGGAATGGTTTCATCTCGATGTGTATCCTAGCTATCCTATATCTGATATTTAGTGTCAGACAGTATAGATGCTGCGCATGCACAGACATAAGGTGCGTTTTCTATTGTATGCACTAGTCACATGTGTATGTGCAACCAACAGTATTTTTGTTGAGTCGTCAATTGGTTCTCATCATGGTGGAAGATTTGGCATTGAAACTGACGGAAATCCTGATTGCCCAAATGTATTGTAGGATGCTCTGGGGGCCCTGTAATTGTGCCTGACACCCCTTTACATCAAGATTGCACAAGCAACGCCAGTCAAGGATACCATGAAATTGACTTGGTGGTTGGCATTGTTTCTTGTGCCAACTTTTCTGCTTTGGAGACAAGCGGTGTGGGTTGTATATTAATAAGCGAAATTGGCGACTGGCTGGATTCCATCATTCCATCTCGAAAGGTAGCATGCGACCTTTACATTGTGTCTATTTTTGTTGGCAATCCTGGTACAATTCCAATTTTACAGACCTAGTTTTTCAATATTTTCCATTTGCCATGACTTTCTGAAACAAAAGTTTTTGATGTTCAGAATGTGAGGAATATATCACAGTGAAAATCTCCATGTTACCCTTGTTCATGTGTGCAACAATGTCTGAAATAACCCGGACACAATGGCGAAAGCAGCCAAAATGCAGGATGCTTCTGAATGGCTGAAATGATAAGTTGTGTGGGAAGGGGTGGGGTGGGGTGCGTGTGTGGGGGGTTGGGGGGGGGGAGGGGGAGGAGGTGTTCACTGGTTTGTCAAATTATTAGGAATATGGGTCCAATGTCCTCCACAATTGCAGGGAAGGCGTAGAGACCCTGCGTGCAGCAAGAGCATTACCCAGTGTTTCCAAGTACGATAGAGCTGCCTTCAATGTGCTGCATATATGCAGGTTTTTCAATGGTGCGAGTTTCAATCCAATATGCAGAGTGGGTTTGTTGCATTTTCCAGATGATAGTTTGCTGTATTTATTATGTGCATGGAGACAACAGTGACTGCACATGCACAATGTAGTGGGTATACGTGACTACAGTTCATTATTGGACTCGTGCTTCCTGAATTTGCAGTCTTTTTTGGATTGTGGCAATGTTGCTGTTGCACTATTAGCCTTACATCTCGTGTGCGTGATTACAGCCACAGTGGACAAGCGATACACACCTTGTTGTTCTATCTGCCATCATGGTGATTGCCCTTGTGGTAAGTTTAGTGTGTTGTTGTTCATGTATTGAAACAATGTGCCACATTGTTCTACCCAAATTTGAATTTTGTAAATGGTTGGTTTCAACAGGGTGCTATACAGTCCATTTGTGTGCACAACACTTCCATATACTCTCCATGTGTACCCGTACAATAGCTGAAGTTTCAGACGTATATTGCTGTTCTTGGTGCAATACCAACAACAAACATTTGTGTACGGATTATCTATTTGCTCATTGTCACGATTCCAGAATTTGTCTATTGCAGTTGCATTCCTGGCAGGAATTCATAGCTGCACTTTACAAAATTTACATAGCGCAATGTGGCAGAACCGAGAACATGTCATTCATGACCCAGAAGAGCTTAAATTGCAAAGACATATTGGTACATGTTTCATTGTGCCATTATGCTCGAGACATGAAGTGGTCGCATTCATATTTGTAGATTTTGAAGCACTAAACCTTTGCAGCCAATGGCAATGTGAAATCGTCTGTTATACAGTATTGAGACAACAAATGTTACAATTTAATCACATTACTAAGAACCTTGGTTTGAGCACATATGTTTATTTATGTTGGCAGATGGCATTCATTGCAACCAGAGACATACCTCCATGGGTAAGTGGGAAGTGTTGGCCTGCAGACTTGTGATGCGCTATGAATATCCACAAAAAACAAACATGCTCTGCAACCATTGGGAATTCGTATTTCAGTGGTCATTCGAAATGCATCTAGATGCTTCTTGTTGCATTCTTTGGTACTTGCTGTTCTGTAGCTGATTTGTTTTATTTAGAATGTTGAATGACCATAGTGGTCATGAGTATAGATATGTATAGTCACTTGCACATGTCAGGCAATTACAGGCGTTGTTGCCATCATTGACCAGATTTTATGCATGGCAAATGCTTATACCACAGAGTCCCCACCCTATGGAAGCCGATTGCACAACAAAAGACACTGACATCTTTGCAATCTATAATCACATCCCTTGAAGATATTCACATTTGCCTGTTGGAGCTGCTTTGGCTTAAACAGATGTACACCATGTCTGCATCTGTGCCAAATTTTTCAATCACATCCCTTGAAGGTATTCGCATTTGCCTGTTGGAGGTGCTTTGGCTTAAACAAACGTACACCACGTCTGCATCTGTGCCAATTTTTCATACCCTTTATTTTCATGGCTTCAACCTCCTGGGGACAGTGAATACATTCAGAAATGTAGGCAATATAACAGGCATCCGATCAATCCAAACAACATTTGTTTATGCAATTCATGAGCCCCTTTTGGCCAGACAGCTATGCACATGCGAATGGATCAGGACATCCCTGCCAATTGTATAAAATGGGGCTCCACGTGTTCTCCAATGTAGACAAACACATCTAATATGTTTTCTGTCATTGCAGGCAAGCGTGGTGTTCTGGCTGCTTGAGATCGCTCTGGTTGTTTGCATGGTCACACTCTGGGTGTACATGTCTGAGGTAAGAGCTCTGCAAACTATTAAGTGTATTGATGCAAATGACATTGCCCAGCTGCAGCGAGTCTTGCCTGATAATAAATCTTCTACCACTGGCATGCCTCCTATTCTATTTCACAGTGTTGCTCTGCACATTCCCAGACAACAGTTCTTCAGATTTTACTGCAATCTCTTGCGCCTGATTGGGTTGCAATGATTTCATGGCTGCATGTACAGCTGTATATGGACCTGATCATATGTGGCAGTCTTTGTGCGCAGTCTCCACAGAGGCAGGGGCCAATGGCAATTAAAGAAATTCACCTTTAATGCTGCACTAATTTGCTGATGAATCAGGAGCTAATTCTGCATTCTTGTTTGTTGCCTGGCCCTCTTGTTTCTGATAGATGCACATGCTGACATTTATGGACGACTCCAGGATTTAGGCACGCCTAATGAGCGGCTTGCAGAGGCTTTTGCCCAAATATCAGCCACCATGGGGCACGGCTGGCAGCTGCTGTTGAGGACCCTTATCACTGTCGAGCCCCAATTGATTCCAAAGATGGCTACACCATATCATGATGACGTTTGCCAGCACCACTGGCTAATATGCCAGGTGTGCAATTGTTTTACACTGGCAGAGAAGTACTTGTTTTGTACAATATGTCCACACTGAATGGAATTGGTGAAATATGCAGCAGAATGTTCCACATGCTATCCTGGTACCAAGAAACGTGACTGCTGCGATGATCTGAGATTCTTTTTCATCCCTGCAAAATGATAATGCATCTTGTGTTGCTCTTAACATAATTAGAGTTTCAATTGGTGGCAAATAACTCTCCAAAATTTCAATTTGCATTGTTACACAATGTTGGACCAAAAATGTAAAATCTGTCTTTTGCACTTGTTAGAGACAAATGTTGGACCAAAAATGAAAACTCTGTGGCTTCACAGGGAGCTTTGCTCCAGTGGAATTAAAGTAAACATGGTGTCAGGCCTTTGCTGCAAAACGGTACTAGTAAACAATGTCAAAGCCTTTGTGCCATACAAGGTTTACAATGTTGTTTTCTTTGTGCCATACAAGGTTTACATGAACATTACATAAAATGCTGGCATGGTGGATAAAAGGCCTGTTGTCATAAGAAACATGTTCACATCAAAAGTGATCAGGGTTCAATGCAGATATTCAGGAAAAGCACTGTTTTGAATATTGCATGCTTAGCATCAACATGATGTTAAGCACAGGCCCCCACCCCAACCCCTACACCCACCCTCTCCTTAGTGCCGATACTTATTTCGATGCCAGGATGACTCATCAAAGCTACCTAACAACGCCATGCAACTTCAAACAATTTAAGGGGAAAAAGTTAAAAACTGTAGCAATTGCAGTGATTTGAAAAATGGGAGGCTTAAAGTCATGGAAGGCAATGGCAGCAGCCCAAAGGCCTGAAAATTGATCCACTGTAAGGATTTCCCTAATGATTGAACGTTTCAGGGAGGTTTTGCAACAATTCATGAGCTATTTGCCCCCGATCAGCAGCGCTTTTGTGCATTCTCTCAATTTATTTTGATTTTAGTGCGAATATATAATCTCCTACCATCAATGGCTGAACGCCCCACCCACCCACCCCCACCCTTCTTAACTCCAATTTGATGCTAAGCATACAAAATTCAAAATAACATCGTCCCTTAGCCAAACAAATGAGCATTAGCCTGACCCTTCATACCTCTATGTATGGAATGCCTACGTTCAGACTTTTATTGACGATGAAGGTGCTGATTTGTGCTTGTGTTGTTCAGGCACAACAGTTCATGAAAAGGCACAATCTGGTAAACACATGTCAAGGGCTCTGCATTTGTTTTGTAAATGGCATAGAGTTATGGATACAATCTGAAGAGGCTGAGTTATGGACTCCTTTTTGTGGTGTTGTATGTCTCCCCAGACTACTTGATGAAATTACTGTTGTCTCGAATCCTACCAGCCCTGGAAGAACTTTGGTGTTTGAAAACGGTTTTGATCAATTCAAAAGTGCTGAAATGTGAATTAGGCTGCATGGCAATGTGTGATAGTTCAGCGAATCTCCTGTTGTAATTCCTATGCAATTGTGTGGTGAATGCTGTGCCAAAGTCCTCCATTTGGTTTGATTTAAACCAATGACAGCATTTATTTCACATGCATGTGTTGTGCCATAGGAGATGTCACCTCTCAATATAAGCATTTGCCTGTTCATCACCGCCATTTTGATGATGTTCATCGTTCGGATCATGGTGAGTTACAATTCACCTCTTTGTTGCACCCCTGTTGACACGATCTACATGGCATCGACAAGGATACAAATTGAATGCAATAAACAATGGCAGTTACACAATTGGAACTATCTTAAAAATGCATTTGTTCTGAAATTGCCTTGTGGAAAATCCATAAGGTCGTTTCTTGATATATTGAGGGTACCACATTATGCAGCGGGTCACTCGGAATTGCCTTGTGTCGAAATGTAAGTTTCAGGGCAAGTCTGATAGGATATATGTGGATCCATTCAAGAAGGCTGTGATGCCAATAAAAGTGCATTCTGTGTTCCACGTGCTTTATTGTTAACACCCTTACAGCAACGTACTATCTATGCTGAGCATTGCACACACTAGATCCATAACACTCCTTATGCATAGGGTATAGGCATCTTCCAAGACGTATTGCTTCATCATTATGCTCTGTTGAAAAGTAGTTTCCACTTTGTTCAGCATGTGCTCATGATGCCATTATTGACCTTCAATTGCACTGTTGCCTGCTCAACCAGGGATACAGGCCCCAAACGCCAACTGCACCATCTTCATTTGAACACAACCACATCCCACTCAGATTGGGCCATTTCATACAGAGGAACAGCCTTTGCAATGAGATAGTCGATGCCCTGACTGAATCGCAAGGCTCAGGTGCAGTCCCTCACGTGAGCATTGAAGGAATGGCAGGACTTGGCAAAACAACTCTGGCAATTGAAATTGCCCGAGAAGCACGGTGCTGTGATCACTTCAAGGATGGTGTTTTCTGGCTGCATGTCCGAGTGCTCAGGTTACCGGCAAGCAGAGGAACTGTTGCTATCCTGGGCATGCTGCACGACCAGCTCTTGGAGGCGTTCTCAACCTGGTGGACAAGCGGGAGGAACAGAAGCAGATGGGGGGAAGACGCGTATGTTGCTGCCATTCAACGGTTGGTGGGGAAGCGGAAAGTTTTGGTTGTGGTTGATGGACTGCAGCACAAGGAGTTCGTCAGACCTTTGCTGCGGATTGGATGCCCACTGCTGGTTACCACGCAACTGAGCAATCTGTTTGTTGGTACTGACGGTGCAAAGGCAGTGCGGCTTCAGCCACTGAATGATGATCAGTCTCATGAGCTGTTCATCACGATTTCCGAAGCACTGGAGAAGCGCCCCACTATTGAGAGTTTCTTGGAGGAATGTGGGGGCCATCCACTTGCGCTTGTGATTATTGGTGCTGCACTCCGTCAGAGAATTAAGGATAGAGGTGACGATGGAGATGGGAGAGATGTGGCTGAAATGCTGTTGGACAGGATTTCAGATCCTGTGTCAAAGTTGGCACTGCGAATTCCAAATGTCGGGCTCCTGCACCCAGCTGATCAGGAGAGGCACTTGTCGCTGATGCGATGCAAGGACATTGAATTGGACAACCTCAGTGAGCATGAGAGGTCGTGCTACATCGCACTCAAAGCCCTGACTGACTATCAATGCATCACAGCAGATGGGGTGTCACAGCTGTGGGACATGCCTGATCAGGAGGAGGCCTTGCAAATGTTGCATACGTTGGAAGGAAGGTGCTTGCTGGAGGGAGTCAAGGACTCAAAAGGGACCATCAAGTCGTGGAAGCTGCACCGCCTCCAACATGACCACTTGGCTGCCATTGAAGCACAGCAGCCACACTACAGAACTGTCATCAATGCTGCAGCACATCGACAAGGCAAACCTAGGAAGAAAGAAAAAAAGAAAGTTTGAACCTGTCACGACAGCGTCTGCCTGGGAAGTGTTAAGGGCATGGTGCACTTATGGAAATGCATGGACTAAAGCCCCAATGCACCAATACTTAGACGACTTTATTGTGGCGAATGCGTCTGGATAGCGTCTTGAGACTCTTTGGACAGCTACTGGAGAAAAAGAGGATAGAGCTGTGCATCAGCTCTATGTGCTATTCTGTGTGCAAGATTTCACTGCACAAAGCACTAAATTCTGTTCCACCTTAGGTATAAGCTTAAGGGACAGCAGGGACGAACTGCTGCAGCAACAAAAGGACAGAAAATTGAAGGAAGAACTACAGTAACCAGATGCTAGTACCAAAGGGCTGGGCCTCTATCCAGTGGCAGGGCACCCCGACAGAGCAAACCAGGTGATAGATAATATCACTGGGCCATGAATGGTATGATGGTTTGGACCATCGATCCAAAGAACAGCCAAGATAAATATTCAAATATTGCCCCCCCAAAATACAGAAAGGTGAGACAGCAGCAAGGAAAGCTACATTACGCATGTCGCAAGTGCCAGCTTTCACAACTGTGGCGAACGGGGTCAGCAAACACAGGCAAAAAGCGTGTTTATTACCCAGCACAATGGTGGCTCCATGCCTCTCCAACCTACCCCCACTTGCTCAAGTAATAACGGTGTCCTGTGGCTGCTCCTGCTTTCCGCACGTACTGGAAATGCCCTCCCCATCCTTGTGTGCTGTAAGCTGCACTTTCGATTTGTGCATCGCCAATGTTCCTGCCTGCCTCTCAGGACTTCTGACTGTCCTGCAGATGCGTGATAAACGAGCAGCCTATTGTCAAACTATCAGTGTAGGCCCAGGAGGAGTGCCATCACGCGCCCATCATGGCAGCGCCACACACCCACTACTTGACGGGGTTACTAACACCAGTACATGGAACCCAGCATGGATTGGGCAACAAGAGAGGGGGTGGATACCAACAGGGTGGCCACTAGCAACAAGTAATTGGGGTATATACTGGTGCACTACTAGTTCAATCTGTTTGTATCGTAGACAAGGAACAAAGATATTGGAGGGGATGCTGAATATAAACCGTGAATGTACTGTGCCATTGACCCAAATGTTGTTGCTGTGGGCCATTGGGGATGCAGGGGGTGCGCTCAGAGCTAAAGAGTGAGATACCTTCTGAATGAGGCAGGGTCGGTGATACGAACTGTGTGCCAGTGACACTTGCGCACAGTTGTAATGTGCTCCACACAAAGCTGTCATGCATTTCTGAATGTGCATGCTGTGGCGCCCTGTCAAACGTGGGATACTATACCACTAGTAAAAAACAGACCAGATGACACAGTCCTGACACAGTCTGCTCAAAATCCAACTGTGTACTTTTGGGACCACATTTGCCGAAAGTACACAGTTGGATTTTGAGCAGACCGTGTCAGGACTGTGTCATCTGGCATGTTTTTTCCTAGTGTACTAAGCTCCAATGGCCTTGGGGCTTTCAGCCATTACACCAGTAGAAAGCGACATTTGGTGACGCCACATACTGTTCTATGGCTCTGACCCATGTTTAATCTTTTATGAAAATTGGTGACCGATTTAACACTAATTGAAAACATATCTGCTTTTATGCCATCGCAATCGTTGCAGTGGCGCCACTTCGTGTTAAAGTGGCATGGTAGTTGGCATTGAAAATGTTGTTCGCTGCTAGTGTTGTTCGACATCGCATTGTTGCTGAAGCTGAGCAGCCATGCAGGACGTGCTTCAATCGAAGGAATCGGTCATGATAAGAAATTCGCAATTCTCAAACCAGTGCGACTTGCAAGCAGGGGGCGACTTTGGTGAAGTGAGCTCCAAAGCAAGTTGCAGCGGATTGGGGCCACCTTTGGGGCACTGAAAATGGTAGAAAATACCGCAAGTTTATCACGCCATCTTGGGTAGAGTACAACCATCACCGCATAAGTTGTGGCTGGTGCGAAAATTAGCATGTTCATATCGACGGTTGGCAGTGGGCAAGGAATTGATGCTTCCAAGCGAGATACTGAGAAGATCATGCATAGCGGAATCACGAAGTAGTTGGAGATCAAACGGGAAGTCAATAGTACACTGCCGTCATACAATGGCCACCCTTCGACATGCCATTGCATAAATTCGCTTTCGAATGACAAACTGGATATTTCCCTTGCAGGCGACATGTGGTACGTACGCACATAAAAAGTTTTCTCTGTTCCTCATACGTTCATTTTATCTGGCGCCACCCGTCTGCAATGCACACAGTGGGTGTTCAAGTAAGCAGGAGGTCCAGCTGCCTCTGAGTAGAGAGGGGATAGTAATCTTGGGAATTGAGCAAACGAAAATTGGCTCTTTGTGGGGACCGTCACCAGGAAGGCGAAATGGTTTTGCTTTGCTAAGGCCATTTATAATGCAAACCATCGAAATTCATGGGTACGTGCTTCAGGTTTGGTATTAACGGCGTAAACATTGTTATTTATGTGTTAAAATAGTTTCTACGTTTTTGCGCGTAAGTAGCTGTCAAACGCTGAAAATGGACCCTGTGTACCGAAAGACAGCACATAAAGACTCAGGAAGTCCGGGGTGGGCACATTAGACGCACTAGAGTGTGCGTACAACGAACTTTGGTTCTAAGATGTCGATGGCCTTGCCAAGGACGAGGCGAACGCTGTGTTGGCAGTGCTCGAGAGGGCGGAGGAGTGATCGTTGATTGGGGCTTCATCACGTAATCTGGCCGTTTCAACGAACCGTGAATACTCGTAAGTATGGCCACATTACGCGTCTTCATGCGTAAAAATATGAATCCAAAAATAGGCCCGTCAACGTAAAAACCAAGCCTCATGTGCTTGGCCCAACGCCAGCGCTAGTGTCAAGCCCGATGCAGTCACCGTGGCATCGCCAAGGAAGGTAGCATATCAGTAACCTTTGAGTGATATCATGGCCACTGCCAATGCACTGCTGGCTTTCCAACGCATGAGCCTCTAGAGTGAATTTCTGAGCAACTTCTTTAGCTGTGGGATGGTCATCATTTCCGAGGGACACGGGATTTGAACGCTTGCTTTTCAATAGCCCTGCATCGCATTTCTTGTGAATGGGCACCGTTGGTGGATCAGGAACAATTTCTCGCTCTGTTTGTAATATTGGAATTTCAACACATGAGCCTCAGTGTGGGTAGGACCATGACTACATAGGCGAAGGAAATTGTATGCAGATCCATGGTATATAAATTGTATGCGGATCCATGGTATATGACTGTATTGAGTCGATTGCGGCATTGGGGAAGCACTGGAATGGACCCATTCATTTTTTTGATGCCGCTAATTTGGGCTGCAGTGTGGGGAATACTGACAGGCACCCTGGGAGCCAGCGCCGGCGTCATTTCTTGTGCCATCCTCTGCAAATTCGCAAACGCCGATGCGGAAACTTCTGATTGAAGTGGAGGACAATGCCTTGAACGCCACTGCGCAACATGTTAGACAGCTGGGATGGTGCCGTTCCCACAGAGCAGTCTTCGACAGCATAGTCTCCCTACAGCCGTTGAGTGAATTGCCAGCCACATGGGCAATGGCATTTGGATTGCAGCAATCTCCAATTTAGAATCGATTACTGCTTCTATTACAATGTTAATTGTCAATTGACATTGGTAGATCAGGGCCGTACATCCCATAGCCATACAACAGCTCCTTGCACGTGTCGATACACCGCCTGGCAATGCGGTCCATTCCGTCGCCAGCGACAGTCTCTCCCCATTCATATAGTACCAGTTCATGCATAGATCTCTGAAGTTGGCCGGGGCTTCCAGATATTTTCCGCCCCTATCCCTCATGTGCTGGGAAGGGGATTTGTCAAGACAAATATCTTGCATCACCTGCATAAAAGCAATCCACCGCCATCCCTATTAGCCGTGGCCTCTTAAAATCGCCCAGCCGTAGCCCCTGCAAACTTCCCATCGCGATGGCGATCGCCACCGTTCTGTTTAGCCCCTTCTCTGTTGCTCCGCTCTGCCTGCTGTGGTGCCAGAATTCTTCGAAGAAGATTCCAAGTCGGCGACATCGCTGCAATTGATTCTATCACCGGCTATCACTAGCAAAAAAGGACCAAATAATGCGTGCTCAAACGTGTACAAAATTTACGGGTTTGTGTTATTTTTGCGTTCTTAGGGTGCAGAACTTTGATGAAATGTGTTTTATGTGTGTTCGCAAAAGTGTTATTTGGCACTTTTTTCCTAGTGTATATAGCAAGAATGCGCATAATGGTATTTTACCCCGCATAACTATGTTACCCCGCGTGAGTTACCCCGCATAACATATACGTTACCCGGCAGCTGCAGTAATCCTCGAATTCCAGCAGCTCGGTCTTGAGATTTAGGCGTGGGCGGCAAGCAATGGGACACAGCGCCGGCTGGGTGCTGCAGCTTGAGCTTCCCAAAACATCGGGCCATCACTGCCACAGGGGCGCTATCCCATGGCACAGGGCTTCGTTAGCCATCTCGCCCACATGCACCATTGGCGGTTGGCCAATCATGCATGTTTTGCAAACTGTGTCCACTGGAACCATGTCCACTTAAACCAACGCATCCCTGCGAGACTGGTAAACCAGTCTTGCAGGAACGCGTTGGAATAAAATGGGCATTACTGAATGATCCAATTTCGTGCCGAATCATTCAAAGACCATCCGTGTGGGATCCATTGACATTCTTATGAAAGCTTCAGGATTTGTTCCCCCGTTTCACCATACACCATACTGGTACAGACTTTTCCTGTGTCTTGTTGTTGGACATATTTCCGTCGGTCTACCTGTCGATATGGCAGCTGACATAAGGACAACGCAGGGCAGTCTTGTGGCTGGCGCCAATCTCAACCAATTGTCGTCGACCAGTGGAGCCAACCTTCCCGTCCACCCCCACACGACGAAGCACGACATTGTGTTTCCTGAAAGCTGGAAGCTGTCGAGAGGTCGACCGCACTCAGCTGCGCCACCGGCTTCGACCGGCAGCAGCCGTGCCGTGCCAGGCAAGGGTTCCGTCGGCTCAACAACAGCCACACGCTCGCATCAAATGTTCCGTTCATCCTCACCACTGAAGGCACAAACTACTCCGCTGATAGGGAAATGGGCAAGAAAGGCGTTCGAACTGTGAGGCAGCTGGCCGCGCCCATGTTGCACACCCGACTGCCTCACGGCTTCTCGCCGGCCCGGGCTTTAAGGACGTCATTTGGCGGCTGGATATCCTTTGTGCGCCCCCTTTGGCCTCTCTGCTGGGGCCTTCGATTCAAGCACCAGGGCGTTTCGTCCTTGTGCCGCAGCACAAGCAGGGGGGCCTTCTGTTTGCCGATCGACAACAGCGATTGCTGCACCGGGGGTTGCGCGTGCATCCAAATTGCGACCGGCCGACGAATCTGCACTCGTGAACGGCGTTTGGCTGACAAAGCCGTGCTCCCCAAGGGCGTTTCGCAAGGTGGGCAATGGCTGCGAGCATCTCCTCCGGATCGCGTTTTGGCCACGTTCTGGAATTTACCCAATCCACCTCGTGGCATCCGCAGAGAATCCGTTCTCGGCAAGACCTGGGTTTCGAACCGTTGACACGTTTGACCCGTGGCCGTCAGTGCTGAAGATTCGTTGCATGGACAGCGCAGGGTCAACTCGCATTGGGGCCGGAGCATTGCACAGCACGTCCGAGGGGATTGGCCGGAGCGCACGGGACCCGTCGTGCTGCGGGCGGGGTTGACACGTGGCGCCCATAGGCGGCGGGTGAACTGGGAGTGCGTTGACCCAGGGGTTCTGCTGGCGCCGCCGGCAGAGGAGAAACTCGGCTGAGCGGGATCGGGTGCATCTTCCGAAGATCGAAGGTGAGCTGGCGGTGCTGCTCGCGTAGCATCGCTCCGATCGCCGATCGTCCAGCGTGGACGCCCATACCCTGCTCGAAGGCGTAGCAGCGCCAAGCCTCGAGTAAATTCCCATTGGCATCAAGTGCATTGCGCATTCCATGATAGAGCCCGTTGCCGTTCGTGGTTTCGTTTCCCTGGCCTTAAAGCGGCCGTGGTGTTTGCTGCACGACATCAACTCCCCGTTGCAGAACGGCCGAGTCCCTTGTCCATCGGGACAGTAGCCGAGGCCTATCCACCCCCATTAAGGGTTTCTTTTTTGTTTGTGCCCATTCTCGCAGTTTGACAGGAGATCCTACCCGAGTCTTATGCCGAGTGACAGATGCCAATAGCTCATTAATAGGACCCGCAACACACAGCAGAGTTCGCCTTCTTGGATGCAAGAATCTTAGGTTGGTCCATCGAAGGGCTGAAGATTTGGCAACAGACGTTCAGTGCCAGACGAGCTCTGAGGGTACCTTTCAATGCCTGTGCATATTTTTGTACAAGACATTGAAGTACAAATAAGGCATAACCCTCTATTTGGCATCGCGTGTGCCACAACAGCAGACAGATTGTCTCCGTGGATGATGGATTTGACTTGCAGGTGCTCAACATTCTATGCCGTGACACTTGCCTGTGAACACCTGAACACTGTTGGGATGTGTGCATGTGTAAGGAGGCCTGCAGGCAGCGTTTGTTTGCATCGTGTACTGGATATCATAGCGTGACTGGCTCTGCCCTTGTGTGTACCTGCCAGCGCAGGCGGAGATGGAGTTTCTCACGCTCGTTGGCATATTTGCGGGTTTGGTTTCGACCATCAAGGAGCATTACAACGACATGCAATCCAACAAGAAGAAGAGTGAGCGGCTCAAAGGGCGCGTTGACACGTTGGAGCTCATAGTCAAAGAAATGCGAAACCGCTATGGAAAAGAGGCGCCAGAGAGAATCAACAGAGCTTTGGCAGGCGTCAATGCTGAACTCAACAGAGTGGCTGCCCTGTTCAAGGATATCAGAGAGCAGAACAGAGTGCAAAGGATGGTTGAAGCACCAAACATAAGCAGAAAATTCCAGGATATAGGCATGAGTCTCGACTATGCTGTCAATGGTACGATGCATTCTGCACACAGCGACCTTTCTTGATACCCTTGGCAGTGCCATGTTGGTTTTGCTGCTCAGGCGCCTTTGCATCATCTTAAAAATGTGCATTGCGTTTCCAAATCTTGGACGCATGGGCATGAGCGTAACTGGGTTGCTTGTGCACACTGTGGGAATCTTCACAAACAGTTGCTTGTATGATGCATTTGTCCTTTGTATGCAGTGGGCAATGCACCTGCTGCAGTGCCACAAGAGGTGGCTTGAGCTTTCTGAAACTGGCAGCTGAGAAGACTTGATAGTTGCAAGAATTTGACTACTATATGCTGTTTGCTTCCAAGCTGACAGCATTTTGAATGGCTGAAAACCCCACAGCGATGGAAACAGTTTCTTATTGAGCAAGTTTGTCACTTGGGAGCATTTCTGGTGCAACATTTCATCATCGAGACAAAGGCACGGATTCTTCCCCTGCAATGCCAAGCGTTCACAGTACAGTACGAACTCTGGCCTCCAGCCCTTGGAGCAAATTGCAGCGCTCTGCTGCAGTGGGGAAACTTGAATGAAATTGTGTTTTGTTTGATTGATACACAGCTTTACCACGATTTCATTCAGGTCTGCAAATTCTGTATCGGTACTTCTCCTTGTCTTTCGCTGCACTCCAGCGAATGCAGTGCTAACCCTTGTGTCCTCCCGCTTTGTGTTGTCTTGCAGTCCTGGATCTTGCCCAAAATTGGCATCATTCCCGCAAGTTTGAAGAGTTCCAAGGGCAAGCGTTGGAGCTGATGGAGACTGTAAATGTGAAGGCGGATCTAATTTTGGAGAAACTCACTTTACGGAGCGACACCGGTGAACAGCAGCTTGACAACAATGAGGTACGTGGTCTGACAAATGGCAATGTTGGCATTTTCATGAACTGGATGAAGAACGGGTCTTGCTTCATCACATTACAGTGGCAGAGTGGACGCATCAACGTGGCAAGAGGCAAAGAGTGGCCACGGCTGCTTTATTGCACAGGATTGACACCATTGCCATTGGTCATACTCATTTTAGTCATCGCAATTACACAGGCTGGGTAATATTAAAATAAGTGCCATCGGGCTGTGTAACACAGCCCGATGGCACCTGTTTTTAATATTATTGTTTCTATAGTCCAATGCGAACAGCTCGCCTATGGACGGCGTTGGATTTTCCACCGTTTCTGACGGAAGTTCTCCAGAAATCTGTTACATCCATATTCACGTGTTCTCACCATTTTCCAATGTGGATCACTGTATATTGAGCAGCGTACCATATCAATTCTGCAATACAGCTTAATTACAACAGTGCAGACGATTGTACCATAATGCTACTTCATATAGCCATGTATTACATAAGCTCACACAATGTTCGCACAATTATTTACATGTGATTAGTCATATGTTATAGTTATCAGCGTAGTGGGGCGCCTGGTTTAGCGATCCCTGTTTAGCGAGCTGTCTGGGTTTAGCGTCCCCCTGAATGGTTTGTCGCCGTTCCTGTAGTACTTTTTTTTCACTGCGACAGGCCCAGGCGCCCGCGACTTCAACGCTGCGACTAAGTCGCTGGTACCAAAAGCAAGTATGGGCCTGGTAAAGCGGGTGTAGCGTCTCCCCTACACCCGCACTGCCGGGACCCATACTGGCTTTTGGTGCCAGCGACCGAGGTACCCAGGGGCCAGGGTACCCCCTATACTGCCAGCCAGGGTACCCCGCACACCGGCGGCCAACGTACCCCCTACACCGGCGGCCATTGTTCTCCCTGCACAGGGAGCTTAGGGTACTCCCTACACCGGCGTCCAGGGCACCCTTTACACCAGCTGCATAGGGTATCCCCCCACCCACCCACACCCACACCCACACACCCCATCACCACCACCACCTGGTGGCCAGGGTGCCCCCTACACTGGCATGCAGGATAAAGAGATTCGAACCACGTAATGGCGGTCTTATCTGGCGGTGTTTGGGGAAGCACACAGGATGCCTTGCAGAGCTTAAACTACTGCCAAACTGTGTTGAGTACTGCTGAAGCACTTAAAGTACTGAGGCACTGTAGCGACGCATATAGTTTTAGCCACCCCTCAGCCGGCTTGTCACGGGCTGTCGGTAAACCGCACCCCCCACTGTATATACTTTGCAAGTAGTGTGCAGCAGACGATGCATCATGTGCTGGCGCACTGGAATGCATCAATGTTGCACTTGGAAACAAATCACACCACCCACCAGAAGGCCACTGCCATTCAAGGTCTCAAATTCTTGTTTCATTTGCATGCTTTATTCAGAGGTCTCAAACTCTGCTGGGAAAGCACCACTGAACACATAAATACAAATCATGCCAGTACTCCAAAGGGGTGATGTTCATGATGGCAGGGGAAACAGGTGCAAATGCGGGCATATGCTAGAAAGTTGTGGAACATATATATGATTAGGACTCCCCCGCATAGATACTGAACGCTGACCAATCACTGATACTTTCTTTCGACCTGATTGTTTTGGGACCCTACATCGGCTCCTGCTGGAAAAGGATCCTGTTGTGCTTTGCGATTTGCTGGGGAGCTCCTTGCTTAAATCGGCATGTAATACATTGGAAATCAAAAAAATATATATGAATATATAAATATAAATATAAATAAATAAATAAATATAAATATATATAAATATATATATATATATATATATATATATATATTTGCGCTATATTGTGGTGATGACAGGATGCACTCAAGTCAGGAATTGCGCCCGTTTTGCACAGGGGGAGCTGAGATACAACCAAGACATGATGGAATTCCTGCAGGATCAGCTGGAGAAGATCGACCTTGTGCTGTCGTCAAAAGAATATGGACAGCTGTTGCTACGGATAGAGAGGAATGAGATGTCGAAAGAGGAGCGAGCAAAGTGGCAGGAGTCCACAAGAAATCTGGCACACACCCGGAAGCTTGGTTACCTGCTGATCAGGCGACACAAGCAACCCTTCAGCCTCACGACATTTTACAAGGTTTTTGAGGCAAGGGAAGCCGTGCAGATGATATGTGGAATGCTGCAAACGTTTGTGAGAGACTGGTGCTTCCCTTCGGTGGAAATCCAGAATGTTGTGCCCCCGGACAGAGTTCGCAGAGATAAGTCCAGGCTGGTTGGATACCTCACCTATGTCTTGTATGGTGAGGTGTGCGCCTTCAAGAGCGACCATCAAAAGGAAGAGTGGATGGGGCTCAAGTCACGCATACAGGGATGGTTCGATTTGCTGCCGATGGCTGTGCAGCATGGGGATCTGGAGTTGGGAGAGTGCATTGATAGCATGGTGTACAAAGGCACAAGGAAGGGATCGCCTGTGGCAGTGAAGCGATTGGCAAAAGTGGACGACCCTGCAACTCTGGATCTTGAAGACTTTGCGGAATTCTTCACAACAATTGTTGCATTGGCCAAGATCAGGTCGAAGGAACATGTTGTGGACATCATTGGTGCCACTGAGACAGGAATGATACTGATGGAATTGGGGTATACTGACCTGTTGAGATGGTTGGACAGCCACCACTCAGAGGGGCTAGCCACAAAGTTGGGCCTGTTGCTGCAGGCTGCCAAAGGTCTGCAGGTTGTTCACGAGCACAGGTTTGTGCACCGTGCTGTACGCACCAGAAAATTTGTGCTCTTTGGGGATAAGGCATGTCCAACAGTGAAAGTTGCTGGCTTTGGTCTGGCAATTGTTAGACACGAAGGTGAGGCCAGCGAGACGTTCCGAACCTACATCAACAAGGATAGAGACACCGCATGGGTTGCTCCTGAGATCTTCACAGGGAAGGCATACACAACCGCATCTGACATCTACAGCTTTGGCATAGTGCTGTACCACGTTGTGGGGGGTCTCTATCCGTATGGGAGGAGCACTCCGACAGCAGAAGTGATGAAAAGGGTGAGAAACGGAGAGCTTCCAAGTCTTCCCAATGGCATGGAGCTGCCTGAGAGGTTGTCAACGCTGATGCAGAAATGCTGCTCCACCGAGCCCACCCAGAGGCCAGTGAGTATGCAGGAAGTCTATGATGATCTCAAGGCAGTCTACGATGGTCTGAAGAATTGTCCATGAGAGGGACTGCTGTGAGTGCAGTGCATACTAACCTTAGGAAAGATGCGCGGCATGGAGGGATGCGTCAATTGTGCTTCAGGGGGCGATGTCATTGTTGCATGATTTCTTTCTGGGGTTGATTTTGTATTTGAGCAGGAAGGCAATCGTTTTAGTTTTGTCACAAGGATCAGCCCAAGAAACTTCTGGGCTGTCAATTCATGTGCATCATTGCAGGATGTTCCATGAAATTGCTTGTACTGGTCGGTAGGCTGTTTTGCCAGTTTTCTGACAGGCTGATGCTGGAATCCACGGGCATTTTGGTTGTTGCTGCCCCAGCACCGCATTTCTAATATACTGACTTGAATAGCGAATGTCTCAAGATGCGGAAGTATATTGACTGCAGTTGTACCCGCCACTGTCTTTTTACAGCGAAGCTGGTTTTAACAGCCATTTCTGACCTGCTTATGCCTGCACGTGTTGCTGGACAGTACTGAAGCGTCATGTCCCTTCAGTGAATCCCCTGCTACTGTCACTGACAGTACTTGGATATTCTGCAACTTGCTCTTGCACCTCGACGCCCTGGTGGACGTCCCGTCACACTACAAGCGACTTCGCGGACCTGTCGCAGCCTGAAACGGGGCCCTGATGCATGAAAAATTTGGGCGTTCAAGGCGTCTGCATTGCGACCGGCGGGTGCAGTTCCAAATTCCCAGCGCGAATGTTTCCTGTCCTAGCAAACTGTGGTACATCCACACGATGCTCGTCCCTTCTGTGCTGTGGCATTCTGCCACACGTCTTTCAGCCATTAGCTATTTGCCCGTGTGGAAAGGGCTTCAATCATTGCCAGACAGCGTGACGTGGCATGCGTTTCCCATCCAACATGTACACCATCACAGCCACGCCACGTTCACAGTATACTGTTCTGTTTACGGATGATCTCGTCACGACCACCCCAGCGAGCGGCGAAATGGAGTTTGTTGGCCGAGCAACCGCGGCTGCCAACGGGGGCTCATGGATACCAACGTCGGTTCGACACTTCCGAGAGGTCGGAAAACGACCCAGGGATTTTCCAGCATCTGTTTATTCACTGCATGTATGCGCACCCTCAGCGACGGCTCAACACCCCAAAACTGACTCAAACAGTCGCCCCCGCTTCTGATGGGCCTGGCAGGCCCAGCCCGGGGCCCCTTCCAACGTTCCCGCTCGCTACATATGTTCCCCCATGGAGAGTGGTTTTACGACCTCTTGCCCCATGGCCGAGCTACGCGGACCCCCCACCTCCACCCCTCCATGAAAGTCGCGTACAATATTCAGTCCTCCGCCCCCTGGAGCACATGTTATTTGCATTTATATCTGCATTGATCTGCATAATATCGTAATATATTTGCATATATATGCATATAGATATTTGCATGTCCTCCGCCCCCTGGAGCACATGCAACATGGCGTCCACCTGGCCTTCCGCAAGGGCCACGACGGCGTCGAGCAAAAGTGCGTTTTCTGCCCACTCCAGCGCGCCTGGCCGCCACTCCCCTGGCTCCGCAATTCTATGTGCTGTCTTTATGTACACGGGCGAGCGTTTCCGTTGCATTTACGTGTTTTTACACCTTATTATGCACAAAAGCATAAACACTATTTTTACGTGTAAAAACGCAAAAACTGTGTTTAAGCATAAAAACGTTAGAACTACTTTTAGCCTATAAGAACGCGAATACGATCAGTGTTTAGGGCGCAAATAACAAGCCTGCACAATAGCTCTCGAATTGAGCAGCTCCAGTCTTGAGAATGTGGCGAGGGCGCCCAAGTGATGGGACTCAGTGCACCCGGATGCCGCAGCTTGAACTCCCTCACCTGTTGAACGTTGGCACCCCAAAGTCGGGCCATCACTGCTACAGGGGCGCCGCCCCATTGCGCCAGATTGTTCGTCACCCGAGCCACCCACATGCATTATGGGCGGTTGACCAAATCACGCATGGGCCACCAGCCGTGCAGGGATGCGTTGGTTCAAACGGACACTAGTGAATAGGACAACTTATTACATGCCGTTGAAGGACCATCCACGTTGGGTCCATTGATGTCATTGCAAAGGTCTCAGGAGCTCACGGACTTCTGAAACCTTCTCAATGATACCGATGGATGGAGGATGACCATCCTAGATGAGGATGATCATCCTCCCCAACATACACCACACTGGTCCAGAACCGTCCTGGTGTTCGTTTTTGGATGTGTTGCCATCGGTCTATCTGGCATCGTGGCGGCTGACGCACGGACAACGCAGCGCAGTCTTGTGGCTGGCGCCAATCTCCACCAGCTGCTGTCGACCAGCGGAGTGAACCTTCCCATCCGCTCCCGCCCGACGAAGCACGACGTCGTGTTTCCTGAAAGCTGGAAGCTGTCCGGAGCCCGACAGCATTCAGCTTCCGCCACCGGCTTCGACCGGCAGCAGTCGTGCCGTGCCAGGCAAGCGTCCCGTCGGCACCACACCAGCCAAAGAATCGCATCACATGTTCCGTTTCTTTTCTCAGAGTAAAGCACAAACTACTCCGCCGATCGGGAAATGAGCAAGAAAGGTGATGGGGCTGGGCGGCATCTGGGCGGCCCATCTCTCGCCCCAACTGTCTCGCGGCTTCTTCTCCACCTCGGGCTTTATAAGAGGGACGTCATTGGCGCCTGGGCACAACCCCCATTGGCCTCCCGGCACGGGCCTTCCGTTCAAGGCCGTTCGTCCTCGGCCGCAACGCAGGCAAGCGGGCCTTCGGGCTGCCGCTCGAAGGCGGCGAAGCGACCGTCGACTGCTTCACCAGGGCTGTGCTTGCATCCAAATTGCAACTTTGCGGACTCGACTCTGGCGAACGGCGGTTGGCTGGCAAAGCGCCGCGCCCCAGCTGCGTTTCCCAAGGTAGGCAATGCCTGCGGGTGGTCCCTGCGGATCGCTATTTGCCGCGCGCTGGCATTCCCCCAATCCGCCTACTTTTGACCTGTTCGGTGTCCGCTGTCGTCAAGACGTGGGTTTCGGACAGTTGGCATGTTTGACCCCTGGCCGTCAATGCTGAAATTCGATGCATGGACAGCGCAGGGTCGACTCTCCGACACGCATTGGGGCCGGAGCGTTGCGCAGCAGTCCGAGGGGACTGCCCGGAGCGGGCGCGTCTCGTCGTGCTGCAGGCGGGATTGACACGTGGGGCCCACTGGGGGCGGGCCCACTGGGGAGTGCGTTGACCCAGGGCTGACGCTGCTGGCGCCACCGGCAGGAGAGAAACTCGGTTGAGTGGGCTCGAGTGCATCTTCCGAAGATCGACGGTGAGGTGGGGACGCTGCTCGCGCCGCATCGCGCCGATCGCGGATCGTCCAGCGTGGCCGCCAATTCCCGGCCCGATGGCGGTGCCCCGCCTGGCCTTGGTGTCCACTCTGGATACGTGTGTCGAATGCTGTGCGACAATCTGTGCGCAGAGCCTGTGGGCCGTTCGTGGTTTTGCTCCCTTGTCTTGCGGCAGCCACGGTTTTGTCGCCCTACATCAACTCCCCACTGGCAGAACACCCGTCAAATTCGCGTCCTTTCTAATTCGAGGCAATGGCCAATCTCGATTTGCCCATTTTCAGGTGTCCCTGCCACAACAGCCAACAGTTTATCTGTGTGTGTGTGTGTGTGTGTGTGTGTGTGTGTGTGTGTGTGCATGTGATGTGTTGAAGTTGAGGCGATTGCCATTCAATGAGAGCGCCTGTGGCCTGAGGGGTTTAGTGGCATGTGTGCACTTGCAACCTGCAAATAGCATTGGTTTTTGCATCTGTGCGCTACACATCAAAAACAGCACAGCCTGAGCCTTTGTGTGTTCCCATTGGTGGAGGCAGACATGGATTTCTTCACGCTTGCCAGCACCATTGCAGGCTTGGCCCTGACAATCAAGGAGCATTACAAAGAACTGAGATCGAGCGCGAAGAGGAAAGAGCGGCTCAACGGGCGGATTGACACGTTGGAGGTCACGGTTACAGAAATGACTCAACACTACGAAAAAGAGCCTCCAAAGAGAATCAAAGGAGCCTTGGAAGGTGTCCATGCTGAACTGAAAGGAGTGGATGACCTGTTCAAGGATCTCAAAACGCACGGCATACTGCGAAGGCTGTTTGAGGCTCCAAGCACAAATGACAAATACAGAGATATAGAAGCTAACCTGGACTATGCCGTTAATGGTACGATGCATTCTGTGCACAGTAGCTTTGCTTGCTACCCTTTACAATGCTGTGATGGTTTCACAGCCTCTCTTAGACCTCTACAACATCTTTGGTTCCAGAATTTTGTCCATGCAGGGATGATCATAAGGGGCTTGTTCTGTGCACACTGATGATTTTTGCAGACCATTGCATGCATGGTGCGTTAGTCCTTTGAGCACAGCAGACTGCATACCTGCTGCAGGGCAGCCACTGCGCTTTGGGCTGCTTGCCACTGGCAGCTCAGAGGACAAGGGCACTTGCCAGAATTTGACTATTTCATGAGTTTGCTGCTGTGTTTGCATCTTGCTGAATGGCTTGCTGAAGAGTGTGCAGCAACACAAACCGTGTTAGCATAACAACGTGTAAGCATAACCAGATTGTGTTGTATTGGAAGCATCTTTGCAGTCATGCTTGACGATTGAGACACAGAAACGAACCTCCCTGTAAAGGATTGTTGTCGACACAGTACAAGTGGCCAACAGTGGCTTACAGCATCTGGAGTAAACTGCGATGTCTGCTGCAAAGGGGAAACCTGGGGTACAGCCCTGTCTTTCTCAGTTACTTTGCAATCTTTACATGCTTTTATTCAGTTTCCACACAATCTGTGCATGCGCTGCTCTTCATCATCCATTGTGTGTTCATGAATGCAGTACTAATCCTTGTGTCGCATGTGCCTTGTGTTGTCTGACAGTCTTGGATCTTGCCCAAAACTGGCAACATTCCCGCCAGAATGAAGAGTTCCAAAGGCAAGCATTGCAGCTGATGGAGACCATGCATGACAAGGTGGATCTTATTTTGGAGAAACTCAGTCGGCTGAACGACCGCGGCGAACAACAGGTTGACAGCATCGAGGTGCGGTGACTGGTGCATGGTGGTAGTTAAGTTGTCCTGATTGGATGAAGAATGAGCGCCGCTTCATCATGTTGCAGTGGCAGGGTGCAGGTGTTGCCATCATCCAAGATATACAGTGCTAATTTACTATTGATGTAAGCTTATCACAATTGTTAATAGTCAAAATCCCCATCACAGTTACGCAAATGCAATGGCGCCTGGTGTTATTTTGTATAGTATTAGAGAACAAGTCACCCGCAGGCAGGGTTGGATTTAATACTGTGCCTGACCATACACTGTTCTCCAGAAATTTGTTTCACCTAAAGCTGCATGTGATCCCCATCTGCAGTGTACAGATTACTATATAGTGAATAAATTACCATAATGGTACTGGATTCTTATGTAGTTGTTTGAGTGTGGACTTGAGTGTTGTCTTGAAAAAGCATTACGCAATGCAAATGTCCCTGCACTGCAAGATCCTAAACTCATTTACACTGTGCACATTTGATGGGGAGGTCGACAAAACTACAGGAAAAGCACAAGTGAGTGCCTAAATGCATGCGAACCTGTAAGCAAAGATGGTGGTGGTCAGATGTATAGATTCAAGTGCGTATACATGAAAGAAAGCTGCAAACTTCAAGCATCTTGTATGTATTGGTATGTCAACAAGAAGCACCACACATGAATGCTGCCTGTTTTGTGCAGGGGGATCTGAGATACAACCAGGAAATGATGGAATTCTTGCAGGCGCAGCTGCAAATGATCGACATTGAGTTGTCGTCTCCGAGGTACCAAGAGCTGTTAATGCAGATGCAAGGGGGAAAGTTGGAAGAAGGGAATGAGGGGCAAGGAAGACGAGCAAAGTGGCAGGAGTCCACAAAGAATCTGGCACATGCTCGCAAGCTGGGCTACCTGCTGATCAGTCGACACAGGCAGCCCTTGAACCTCACAACCTTTTACAAGGTTTATGAGGCAAGGGATGCCATACAGGTGATATGCGAAATGCTTCATGCTTTTGTGAAGGACTGGGGCTTTTCTTCAGTGAAGATCGAGACTGTTGTGCCCTCAGACAGAGTCCGCAGAGACAAGTCCAGGCTGGTAGGATACCTTACATATGCCTTGTACGAGGGGGAGGAGTGTGCCTTCAAGAACGAACACCATAAGGAGGAGTGGAAGGCACTCAGAGCACGCGTGAAGGGATGGTTTGATTTGCTCCCGATGGTTGTGCAGAAAGGTGATCTGCAGTTGGGAGAGTGCATTGATAGCATGGTGTACAAAGGCACATGGGAGGGATCGCCTGTTGCAGTGAAGCGGCTGGCAAGAGGAGACGACCCTGCAACTCTGGATCTTGAAGACTTTGCAGAATTCTTCACAACGATTGTTGCATTGGCCAAGATCAGTTCAAACCATGTTGTGGACTTCATTGGTGCCACTGAAGCGGGAATGGTGCTGATGGAATTGGGCCATACTGACCTGTTCAGATGGCTGGACAGCCACCACTCAGCGACTCTGGCAACAAAGCTGGGCATGTTGCTGCAGGCTGCCAAAGGTCTGCGGGATGTTCACAAAAAAAGGTTTGTGCACCGTGCTGTACGCACCCGCAAATTTGTGATCTTTGGGGACAAGGCAACCCCCACAGTGAAAATTGCCGGCTTTGGTCTGGCGATTGTTAGACACGAAGGTGAGGCCAGCGAGACGTTCCGAACCTACATCAACAAGGACAGGGACACTGCGTGGGTTGCTCCTGAGATTTTCACTGGGAAGGCGTACACAACTGCATCTGACATCTACAGCTTCGGCATAGTGCTGTATCATGTCCTGGGGGGTCTCTATCCGTATGGGAGGAGCACTCCGACAGCAGAAGTGATGAGGAGGGTGAGGAACGGAGAGCTTCCAAGTCTTCCCAATGGCATGCAGCTGCCTGAGAGGTTGTCAACGTTGATGCAGAAATGCTGCTCCACCGAGCCCACCCAGAGGCCAGTGAGTATGCAGCAAGTCTGTGACGATCTGGAAGCAGTGCACGACAATCTGAAGAACTGTCCGTGAGAGGCAAGGACTGGGAGGGAAGTGCACAGCAACGTAAGGAAGAATGCGCGGGCTGCAAATATCATTCAGCGTGCTTCAGCGGGCCGAACATCGCCTTTAAGGTGCAAGGGCAGTGTTTTGTCATGTTGTGTGACAAATGTAATCAAAGGATTTGAGCTTCAGCGGGCGATGTCATTGTTACACGGTTTCTTTCTGGATTTGACATTTTGTAATTGGGCATGAGCGCAATGCTTTTAGATTTGTCGAGAGGTTCCACCGCTGAAGCTCTCTGGGTTGTCAGTTCATGTGCATCATTACAGGTTGTTTAATGAAATTGATTATTCTGGTCAGCAGGCTGTTTTGCCAGTTTTCAACAGGCGGGCGCTGGAATCCGCGGGCATTTTGGTTACTGCTGTCCAGTCTTATATGCTGACTTGAATTGCGAACGTCTCAAGATGTGGAAGTATATTGACTGCAGATGTCCCGTTACAGTGGAAGCGACTCCGCCGACCTGTCAAAGCCTGAAACGGCGCCCTGATGCACCAAAAAATTGAACGTACAAGGCGCATCTGCATTGCGATCCGCCGCACAGTTCCAAGTTCCAGCCTGCATGTGGGCTGTGCCATCATATGGTCGTCCTTTTCCAAATGCGGCATTTTGCCATGCGTCTTTCACCCATTACCTTGCATGTGCGGAAATGGCTCCAAACATTGCTAGACAGCATGGCTTGCCATGCTTTCCCAATCCACTCGCCCACCAAGCACAAGCATGGCACTTACGCTATTCTGTTCTGTTTACGAATGATCTCGTCACCATCACCCCAGCGAGCCGTAAAATGGAGTGTGTGGACCAAACATCCGCGGCTGCCAAAACGGGGTCACGTATACCAACGCAGTTCGACCCTTCCGAGAAGGGGTCGGACACCGACCCAGGGTTGATCCGGCATGTGTCGTTTATTCGCGGCGTGTCGCGCACTCTCAGAGACGAATCATCACCCTCAACGCTGACTCAAACAGTCGTCCCCACTTGTGATGGGCCCCGCGGGCCCAGCCTGGCCCCCTGGCAACGTTCCCGCTCGCTACATAGGCGTTCACGCACGAAGGTGGTTCCGCGACGGCCCACGCCCGAGCTACGCGCCCCCCTCCCTGGCTCCGGGCCTCCCGGGATCGATTGCCACAAACCCCTTCGCCTCTGAATCCGCTTAACCGGACAGGTGCGTCCGCGCCAACCCCACTCGCCTGCCTCTCGGTATCCCTGTGCGGGCTGTGTACCATCCGCGCCCCTTTCCCTGCGGGGGGCCCAAATAGCCTCTCCGGCTGTGGCTGCCGATTGGGCCGGGGCGCCGAGGTGCAGTCTGCCACCGCTTGCGCGATGCCCGCGACGTTCGGAATGGAAACTGCTCCACTAGGATTGTGACCACTGGGGTGACCCGGGCACCGCGCGGCTCGATCGATACCGAGGTCTCTGGCCCAAACAGGCCCGCCAGCACCGGGCCCCGGCCCCCGCCCCCAACCCCTCCCCCCCCTGGGCCCACCGTTCTCCTAGGCCCCCCAACCCCGATCCCCTGGCCTGGGGCCCCAAGAGGTGACCCAGGCGCGCCTCCTTGGCCGATCACCACCCCTGCAGCGCCGCTTCCCTCGCCGACAGCGAGGCGCCATGGGGACCTAGGGCTCCCTTCCGCCGCATGGGACTTGAAGTTCGTGCTGATAGCATCGCTTGATCGCCGTCGCGGCTGTGGGGCGTTTGGCCCTTCCTAGGTGCCCATGATGACCTGCTTGGGCCTGTAGGCCTACCCGCCCGCAGGGCCGTCCCACCTTTCGCGATTCCGCCGGGTGCCATCTCTCTGCGCCGACGCGCTGCCCGCCACGAATTTTCCAATCCAGAGGTGGCTTGAGCGGGGGCCCCGCCTGGGCCCGCCTTTCCCCCTCACCCCTCCTGCCGGCGGCTTCAGCTGACGCTGACCTTGACGGGAGTCGGGACTGGATCGGAATCGAGGTAATGTCCTGTTGCCCCGCAGGAAAACAGGACAGCAGGCATGCCCGCAGCTTGCCGCTGGCTGCTGGCCGTTCTGATTGTCGCCGCCGCAGCCGCCGGAGTGTCGAAGTTCTCGGCGTCAGGTGGGTTGGATGGGGCTTGCGCCCTCCGCTCAAGCTACCTATGGACCGCTTGCCGTGTAGACCCAACGGGAGCCTTCCAGGCGCCAGACACTGGCGGGCCGCGCCGTCTGTGTGGGCGACCCGGCCCTCCGAATCGCCAGCGTGCAGCCCGGGGAGTGTCGACCTCGTTCGGCAGCCTCGGGGTGCGGAGCACGCCGTGGGTGTCGGGGTGCCTGTTCGCGCGACACTGCTGCGCGGCCGCGCGTGGGGACACGCAGGCGACAGGTGCACCTGCGTTGGCACACGGAGATCGCAGTTGTCCGATTAGTAAGTTAGCCTGCGGCTGCGGTTGTGGGCATTTTGCCGAAAGTAGAGAGCTCATGTGTACTTTCGCGTCCTGAACTTCGTGGGCGGGCTCCCAAGGGCGTAAAGTTATTGCTAAAGTGCTTGAGCCTCAAAATGCAGTGGATATGTGTGTTGGGCGGCCGCTGGCTGCGTCCATATACGATGTGACGACCGCCCGACTTCTTCTGCTGTGTCCTCGCTGTTTCTCCGTTGCTCCTCATGGCAGCTGACCTTCCTTGTTGGGTGCCGCAGAGGTTGGGCAGGCTTCACAGGTGACCAGCAGAATTGTGGTGAGCTAAGGGGACGCTCCCTGGATTAAAACACAATAGTAATAAAAACAATGACAGTAATTACTGAAGAACGAGCTGGTTACCACCATGTTGCCAACCAGACTGTGAGCGCCCAGCGGCAGAACAAAGTTGCCGCACAGGCGAGTAGGTCCACAAAACTGGGATGGTCGCACTAGCAGCAATTTTAACAACTAATTGATGGATCTGTTCAATGCGGCCAACTTCCTGTCTTTTCTATCAAAGGCAAAGAGTAGAATGCGAAGTTACGTGCATTGTGTGGCAGGCGCGTGACAAGTTGAAAAAATGAATAAATAGCAGCTTCAAATGCTTTGCTTCACAGGCATGGCATACCTGCAAAGCGCAAGGACCCCATTTTGTATTGTGAAGGCAGGGGAAACGAAGAGGGTGCTGCCCAATGTGCGAACAGAAATAAAGGTGCAGTTTTCTGTACTTGTGCCGCACATTTGTCACCTGTTTTTTCAACTGCTTCTTGGGCTACATTTCCATCAGGCTGTTGAGGAGGCACCGGAGGGGAGGTTCCCTTGGATAGTGTCCATCAGGAACCCTGTCAGACTTCACCGTTGCGTGGGTATTCTGGTGAGCCGCCGGTTTGTCCTGACCGCCGCCCACTGCATCGACGACATCGGGAAGAACGCCATCGTTCACATCGGCCCGTACAGATTGAATGATGCGGAGGAGCAGCTTGGGTCTCCCAGGGTGAGCCGGAGTTGAATGCGCCCCATGACATGGTGGATTAGTTGTGAAGAAATGGCGCAATAGCAATGTGCAATTAGCATGGACATCATGGACACATTGCGTTGCATATTGGCTGAGTGATGACAAGCAAATGATACAGTGATTAGGCTTGTTATCTGCAGTTTCGGCACCTTTCTTCCATTCAGGATGTTATGTGTCAAACATAAACACACAGAAACGATTTTTTTGTGGCTGCAATTTCGTATTTTTGCGGCACGTTGAGACACTCAGATGCCATGATTAAGACGCAAGAAATGATCAGTCCTCTGCCCCCCTCAAGCACTGGTAACACGGCATCTAGCTCGCTCTAGGCAAGGTCAATGACGTAGTCGTAAAAAGCGTTTCCTGCCAAGTCCAACGCATCTGCCTGCCTTTCCCAGACTCCCTGAGTCTGTATACTGTCTTGATGTACACCAGGTCTGTATTTACATATTTTTGTGCGCTTTTATGTGTTGATACATAAACACTATTGTTGCGCATGTAAACACAGATAAGATATGTATTTGTGGCATAGAATAACAAGCCTTATGGTGAGTTTGCCAGGAAAAATGCAGTGAAATAACACTATCAGAAATGTGCATAAAATGTGTGCAAGTCCCCATCAAGGGTGTCCATGTGCATTCGATACATTGTTACAATGCTTTGGTCCCTGTTACTTTGTGGAATTATCGCTTTCAACAGATTTCTGTTCAATCACAAGTTCATACAAACATATGTGTGCATGCGTGTGTTGTTGGTGGTCGTCAGCTATAGTGGCACTGGGATACTAAGCGTCAAACAGCGTCATGCCCACCCCGTGCTCATGAACGTCCAATCTGCAGTAATGGCGTGCCCAATTTTTGCTTTGCTATTTCCAATGGCCAAGGTAATGTTTGGCACATTTTGTTATCCCAGTGGTGTTCCAAACTGCCGGATTGTGGTATCAACATTGCAATGCACATTCGCAGGGGTTCCAAGTTCTGACAGCTATATTGTTGTTCTGGAAGTTTGCAGATAGTTAACAACAGTGAATTTGCATGCTGTAGAAAAGATATGGATATACGCAATTCAAGTAATTGAAGCAATCGTAGATTTCAGTGCTGCATGCATGCAACGGCCTCTGTTCTTTAACAAGCAAAACACATCAGCGCCAACACAGGCCAACTAAAGCCCTTAACAGAATGTGGCCTGAGAAAGTAATGTGAAGTATTGATCCTTGTACCTTTTCTCCAAATGAGGGTTAGCTCTGCAATTCATATATGAATTCATTGAATCACATTTATGCAGGTCATGCGTGCGCTGACCACATTTGTGCACCCAAATTGGAAGAAGAAGTTGCAACATGGATATGACTGCGCACTGTTGAAGCTGCCTTGGGATGTCGAAGGCGTTCCTACGCCCACCCTCTCCGAGAAGGGCACCCAGCATCCTGGAAGCACAGACGTCTTTGCCCTGGGATGGGACGTCCGGAGGGGTGGATCCCATGAAGTCTACGATAATCTGCGGATGGCGACGTCACTGCAGATTGTCGAGAATCGCCATTGTCCTGGTTTGGAGCGTTGGGCCCTGGGAGCGCATATGATCTGCGCCTATTCCGCCTATGAGGACACCTGCCAAGGTAAGCCTTGTATTCCTCATTGCCAACAGGAGTTGTGCACATTGTGTTCCTGCACCGCATGTGCATTGTCTCATGTGTCATTCTCATTCAGTATATTCTCATATTATCACCGTATTTCCTGTCATTGTGAGCAAGCAAAGCGAGAGGAGCTTTACAATGTTTATGATATGGTTGTGCATTCATCGATTCTTTTCATATGCGTTCTTGCATATTCTTCATGTGTATTCTTCCTTTTATATTATCACATTCTCATTCGTTCAGTCATGCCAGGTCAGTCTGAACAATGCTGAATTTGGCATACATGAAGGGTACTGTAGTCCTCTCTTTTCTGGCGGACTATCAGATTTACGCGCCACAGAAGCTGGCTTGGATGCTTCATAATGTAACTCAAAAGGAGCTACGCCTTAGGGCATGAACACTCGCGTCCAACCAAAATACGCATTCCGGCTCAAGTGCCTCAAATGCAAAAATGGGCAAAGAAAGCGGTCAAGAATGCGCTAGTTCGTCAGATTGACACATAGTGGAGTGGCAGTCCAGGATTTAGCACTTCAGGCAATATTGGGGCCAGTGACACGGCATTTACTGCAACAATGATGTGCGCAGGTGACTCCGGCGGCCCCCTCTTCATGGCAGACAATCCGCTCAACATGAACCTCTCCAAAGGGAATCCTCACGTTGACCTCATCCTTGGCATCATGTCGTTTGGCCCTGACCTGTGCGCCAGGGGCAGAGGTGGTGCCTACACACGGGTCTCTGACATGCGCGATTGGATCGATGCAATCATGGAAGGGAAGGCATACTCTGAGGTGAGCCAGCCCTGAGCTGTTTAGGCCACCGGATGGATGTCTGATGGCCATTGACGGCCATGTGGTTGGCAGCAAGTGTCAAATCTGTCCACAATGGTGATTTCTGCGATGCCCACTTGGTTTGCACAAATGTGTTGTGTGGGCACCATTGGGGCAACACAAAGCCTGTTGTTCCAAGGGAAAGGAGAACTTCTGAAAAGAGGTTTTTCCACTTCTTTATCAAAGTTGATGCTCAGTAAATGGAATTCCAGCACACAGCTTGACAGCACCTTACTTCATCCATCTGATGCTAACTGCTTGCCATGATCACTTTGCGGCCATTTTCCATCATGAAAGTTCAATTTTCAACGAAATGTCTTTCAAACTTGTGTTCCCAAGCCAGTGAAAGAGTAGCTCAATCTAAAGAGAACGCAGACAGAATGCTAGGTACTCTGAGTGATTGCTGGATGGCTGCAAATCTTGCTCTTCTTCACAGACATTTTACCATTTGGTGAAATGTTCACATGAAATAGTAGAAATAAATGCAAACATTGAAGTTTTCATGGAGTCCAGTGGCCGACACCTTTCCGCAACAGCACTACATTTAATGAGCGCTTCGTTCTGTGGCAGCAAAGTATCTAGCACTCTGTGGTGCAGTCATCGTTGGGAACAATTTGCTCACTCTGCACAGTGGCTGTCCGCGCGTAGGTCAAAATATGTGCCAACATGTAATGACAACGCCACCAGCCAAAAAGAAATGCAGATTCGTCATGTGTCACATAATGCGTTGAATGTTCTCAACGGCGTTAAGCTGTGTATTGATGGCATTCACCGAGTTTCAGCGGTCTAAATCGTGTAACGCTGATCTCACGCCGTTTTGGTGCTGTGGCTTGCCGGTGCGAGACTAAAAATGTTCTGGATTTGATTTGTCGCAAGTCAATTCTCGCGTGTGCGATGCCCTGGGCTGCTTCATGGCAATCACTGTCACAATGTTGAATGGCGACGTGATGATACGTACGCGTGATGATGCTCCATGATACGCGATGAAGGTGAAAACGGCATCCAGGGCATTGGATTTCTTGTGTCATGTGCCTGACGTCATCTCTCGTGCAATGCCGTGGGTTCAGGAGGCGGACGCTGCATCTCGGGGACTGTCGGGCTTCTGTTGCCTCGAAAGGATCTTGTCAATGCTGATGTTTTTCCTGGTATGGCACTCCGTACTTTCATGCACGGCTGTTGTAGATGAAGCCGCCACAAACATCGCTACCGTCGCATTCACTGACTCTATTATGGGCATCCCTGTGTGATGTAAGTGAACATTAGAAAAGTTGCACTACAATAGTGTGTCTTGCGCCGTGCACGATGTCCTCACCGGCACGCCTGCTGTGTGTGGCGTTTTGTAAAGAATATTCTCGAAAGCATGGTCTGTGTGGATCCTCCATTAATACAATTGATAATTGATTTGTGTAATCACTTTACCACATGCTATTGTGTACTAGCTGATCAACACGTGTGTAACGTTATTTAAAAGCATAGTATCGGAATACATGCCGACACATACGCCCTTCTGAGGGTTTCGATGCCGGTCAAAGCGAACCAAAGAACCAGGTTTTACTAATGTGCGAACTGGCTCTGTCATGGTGGAAGACGCGCCAACTCAACATAATCAACGATAAGCAGACTTTACGTTCGGGAAATGCGATTTAAACACACGCCATTCCTGGTTGAAGTGGGCGGGCATCTCCCCCTTGCAATTCATTCGAAGCCACGTCCTTTGCTGTTCAGCCTTTTGTTGTAACTTCAACTTTTTTTGGCGCAGATGACTCGCGGCGCCTGCAGGACCCTTCCGGAGCACATACTGACAACGGCTCTGAAAGCCAAGGTAAATGAAGACGATGCACTGCGAATACAAGTGAACTGTTGCTGATCATTGTTAAGTACAAATGCAATCATAAATTCGCTTTTGGGTATTTACCAACAGCGACGACAGCAGCAACATCATAATAGCCGTCAACGAGAGACAATTGTGCCGAGTGGCCCGCATTGTTATCAGTTTTGCACCGCTGCAGTTATCATTAAGACCTCTCCAAATATCACTACCAGACATAGACCTGTATCTGGCAATTAAAATTTCCATATGTTTACTATTGTAATTCCCTTTTGTCCCACCAGTTGCCAGTACCCTCCGATAATAAGAATCTGCCAACGACTATTGTTTGGTTGCTTTACTGATAACAGGAGTGGCCTATTCGATTTTGACACGCATGAGGTCGAATTGAAGCTGAGAGGGCAGAAAGGGGGGCGTTGGAAGTTAAGAACTTAAGCACTTGCCACAAAATCGAAATTAGCTAAAAAATGGGTTTAACCGCTAGCCATCAGTAGAACACATGTCATTGATCCCCTAAAGGCTCTTTGAAGCCTCAAGCCTTCTCAGAGCCTCAAGTGCATTTGTATTTTGACTGCTTTGAGGATCGCCCTCATTGCGTGCCGTCATTTCAAATGTCCCATTTCCAGCCCTGTGTGGTGGCTGAAACTTCGGCGGTTTTTCAGGCTTAAGAGCTTCTTGATGTTGTGCTATAACGTTACATAGGTTTTCTGAGTCGTTGTGGCATCGAAATGAGGATTGAATTGAAGAAGGGAGGGGAGGGGGAGTATCAGCTTAGCATCGCTTGCATGCTGCGCGTTCCATACTCGAATTTGTGTGTTTCTAAATTTTGCATTCCCGATTTGGTGTTTCCATAAGTTGTTGTTGGGGATGCTAGCAGTTACAATGCGCTGTTCCGTTGACTCCGCGAATGGGTCCTGATTCTGATATTTTTTGGACTTCACGACGAAATGTACGTCTCGTATCTGTATTATTATTGTTATTTAGTATACTACCGTGTACTTTATATATACATGCGCAAGGCAATGGGTGAGTACCCTGAAGATAAAATATCGGCTCTGTTTCAAGGATGCATGTTTCACTGAGGCCCCAATGCAGCAACAGTAAGTGGGGTGATCAGTTAGTCATGTGGCAGCGTCTCGACTGTAAGAGAAAAGGCTGAAAAACATTATACCTGCGAAAATTTGAGGCATCTTATGGAAAGCACGAAGTATACAAACACTCCTCAAGGTAGAAAAACAGCTGAAAGATTCTGCTCTTGCATTCCTTCATCCGTCATCGTCGTCCTCGTTTGAAGTTTCTAACATGTCTAGTGGGTAGCGAAGGGCCTATTGATGCTGGTGTAGCGGTACTTGTTTTCACGTGTTTTAGGGTATACGCATTATTCTTCTTGGGCTGTAATTTTCAATGTTGAGTTCATCTTTAAAAGCGTCACTCATAATCGAAGAAATATAGTTTATTCTCAGCGTCGCGCCCTTTCTTCGATGTTCCTTTCTGGGCATCATGATGTGCATTCCGTGATTGCCCGCGATTGCCGTGGGTCCTGTTGAAAGAACAAGCTCAAATCAAGTGCTTCCATGGATGGAGACACAATTGACTGACACGACATATAGATGTAAATGCCTCAGGCTGGCAACAAATAAATGGGCGTGGAAACAATCAAATCGTTCCATAATCTCATCAGCCATGAGAGCTAGCAAATTCCACAATGAGAAACTGTATAATTTGATTGAGAAATGTGGGGCTGCCCCTGCGCCTTTTCAGGGATACTTCCTGGCCAGAGGAGAGCACCTCTACCGCCACGGCGACGCCTTAGGGTCCACCTTCTCCTACTGGATCGCTTGGCGGCTGTGTCTACTATTTAGGAACGAAGACCACGTGCGCAACCTCGCCACCAAAAACGGCCACGTGAAGGCACAGCGGCTTTACTATCACGGCGACTTCTGGGGAGCCATGATATGCTATTGGCTGGACTGGCAGCTCTGCAGGTGACGTCATGCTGACGATCACGATGGCTCGCGCAAGTACAGGACGCGTCTGACTTTGTTTGGACCAGAACAAAGCTATACAAATATTAAGACATGATTTCGGGGAGCGAATATGCACGCAGTTGCAGGACACTATATGGATTTATTACCGCTACTATTTGTGCACGGAGTACTCGTTTTCTTTTGATCTACTGGCTCCATGATATGCAAGTGGCTTCTGCAGTTTTTGATGAGGAAAGTAATAACTAGGATAAGACATCGCCGCACCCCATCGCTTAAGGAACGCGCGATCGCACATTTTTTTGGCCATTACCTGAAGTTTCCGAATTGCGGTTATATTCTTGTGTAGTATGTGTAGCAAACAGTTTATGTGGTGTACATCGCGTATTATGTATTATTTTGCTTCTTGATGGTTTGTTACTTTTGCCGAGTATTTCGTCTCTCTGATGAGGCCTCATTGCTGGGCTGAAGCCTGCTTTGGTGACTTTTGAAGAGGGTGCTCGTGCCAAAAATACATAATGCATGGTGCGCATAGTATTGTGCAACGTAATTGCAGCAATGTAATGGTAATCTAAATGTCTACAATGAAGGCAATACTCCGCATGCTCGATGAGATGGCCATCTTCTATTGCCCGAGCCGTCAGGGGAGCGTGCGGAGGCAGTGTTCTGTGCATTGGTCAACTGTTGCACCCTTTACGCCAATGGAAACCGATATTCTTGTGATGCCAACTGCGGTGCCATTTGACACTAATTGATGGCATCACATCCACATTTGTGCCATCGCAGAGACTGTGATGGCGCCATTTAGTGTCAAAATGGCACCGTAATTGGCATCACATACATGTTATTTCTGGTACTGTTACGTTTGTCGCTACATGCGTAACTTTTATGCCGTCACAACTGTCCGCAGTCTGTGGAAGCACAACAACGCGCAGATCCACACGCTAGCAGAAAACCCCCTTTTGTGCAATTCCAACTGCCATATGGAATTTTGCATTTAATGGCATCATCACAGTGATGACAATAGCATAAAAGAAGTTGCGATGGCAAAAATAAGTATTAAATGGGATCCCAGTGTGTACCGCCAAAATGCCGTTTCCTGCCAGTGACGGTGTCCAAACCTGCCCACATGCATGTCGCTGCATCTTACCGCAGAATGGGCGGTGCGCACAGGCACATGGCAGGCGAAGAGCACCCCCACGCGCTAAAAAGCCTGGAGGAGCATGGCCGGGCCCTTAGAAGGTTGAAGTACCCATTAAGGGCCAAGGACTGCCACACGACGGTGCTGGAGACCTGCAGGCAAGGCGCGCGTCAGTGGTGAATGATGGCAGTTATCATTCGCTGTCTCAAAACGCATTAATTGTGGGAAGTAGGACGCACTCTGTCCCATATCAATTGTCCTCTGTAGCTCTGGCGCATTATTTCTCCGTCATAGAAGCTTCGTTTTCCATTAAAACTCGTCCAAAGCTGTGTTTGTGAAACTGGAGTATTCGGTCCAAAAATTCGTTGAGTATTATGATTTGGCAGCGCTTTGCAGTAAGGTTCATCTGCCTTGTTCGAATCATTGCTCAAAAGCCATCTTAACTTCTTTTGATTCGACGCTAAAAGAGATCGGGCCTCGCATTTTACTCTGGGAGGTTGGTAGGTCAGAGTTTTGGTACCCAATCTTTCCGATTCTCACCTTCTGCAATTTTGACGCCATCACGTTAATGAAGTTTGGATTTCAAATAAAGGACATTTACTATGAGACAGAGGAAATATCGATTAATTGTGTATGATCATATGGAACTTGTGTTCAACAACATTATAAGGTTGCAATATATGTGAGGCATATGCTGCCATATGGGTGACTCGGAAGAAATTGACAGTATGTGAGAATTTGCCAATATGAGTTACATTTGTTGCCTGGAAATAGACTATGAATAGTTTATGCAAGGATGTCATTTGTGTGTATTGGAAATTGGGGGGCAACGTCATAAGCAACATGTTCCACCATTGGACATTGCACACCATGACAGCGTGGTCATGTCGCATGGTTTGGAGATGGAGAGCGGGGAATGGAGCAAATGCAGTCGTCTCGATGTTCATTCAAACAATCATATATGCATTGCAGTCGTGCATTGTATCTATGCATTGCATTTACGAGTCGCATTACTTTTTGCATATCACCTGTTTACCTCTGATGTTTTAAAGTGTGCCCACAGTCACCTCGAAGATGCAAGGGTGGAACAAGCTCACTAGCCAAATACATCAGAAATCTCTGTGAATTTGGTATGCTGTATTGCCTCGCCATTCATTATATTTGGTGTGACACATGTAATCAACTGTTCTGCACAATTTCACTGCATCTATAAAATCTGGCTAATGGCAAATTACAAGAAGTCGGCATGACCCGAGCATGGACCTAAGTCCCCACAGGACCTGCAATCATCAGAATGGGTCTGCTTGTACTTGATTAATACTCCAACCTCATCTAACCTAATTTAACCTAATCTGACCTGCTTGCTTACTTGGTTACTTTAATATTGAATTTGCTAAATAATCAGTTACTTACTCGCTCTGTCCCCCTCCCCACCCCAAGAAAAGTGGCAGTTATCAAATACGGCAAAAGCAGTGTTAAAATATGTTTGAAGGTACAGAATAACATCGAAACCGAAAGGCAAGTGCCACACTTTTAAGAACCACCGCCATCTACCACAGAATTTAAATCTTAGGCCGTGTCATCGCAGCCTCAAAGAAATGGGTTGCATCGCTCGCCAAATTGCGCCTGACAGCAGCCTCCCGCATGACTGCTCCCCTGTTCTACGCTTGCTCCTTGCCCACGCGAGGAGAGCAGAAGTGGAGCAAGGTGGGGGCAGCCCTCAATTCTCTGTTTCGCAGCGGGGGCTGCAAGTCGCCTTGGTCAGGGGCCGCTTCTGAGCCACTGCTAAACTTGCACGGCATTTGGACCGACATGCCTGTGTTGGAGTGGTCACATCTACTCTCAGGGGTTACTTAGCCGAGTGATCGAAGACTTTGGTGGATCTAAATCGACGCAAATTCTATCTGATGGGAGTTTGAGCATTACAGGAGATGTTTTGATGGGCTTTATCAAGGCTGCAAGTAACAATCGCCCTTCACTATAGACCACAGGAATTCAGTTGGAATAAAGTGAGAATGCTGGTGGCACGCAGGCGGCGCCACGGCCAGCACCACGCCGACACCATCAAGTCCCAGATCAACCTGGCCAACGTGTACCTGTCGCTCAAGAACCTGGAGAAGGCCGAGAGCTTGCTGTTGTCGGCCATCAATACCCTCGAGGAGGTTCGTCAGTACAACCTGCTGGTAGCGTTGTGCTGGAACAGCATGGGCAACGTGCACCAGGCGGCGGGCAACGTGGGCTCGGCGGTGAGGTGCTACGGCAAGGCGCTGTGCATCCGGGAGTCCTTCCTCTGCGCAGAGAATCCAGACACTCTGGCGTCCAGGTGCGAGTGGTGCCGCTCCGACTGTTGTGCTGACACCATGACACGGTCTTGCCCGAAATAGCGTCGTTGCTCCCGGCCCATGGTTGTGCTGTTTGTAGCGCATGTAACATTTGGAGCATGACATGGTCGTGCCCCTCCATTCGTTTAGACGTTGCTTTGCCATCAAAGTCAAGTGTGCTGTAGGTACAAGTACCGATTCTAATGTGAATTGCAACATTGAAGTCAATAGTGAGACAAGCATTAAGCTTGATATTGTTTCATATTTCGGCAGTACTATTGATGAACTGCTTAAGTATGGACTGTTCATCTCTCATTATGTTCCTGACCGCTGATACACGATACTCGCCAGCTTTCGGCCGTCTCCAATAGGTCAGAATTGTGCAAAACTGACAGTTCTCAACATGCAAAGCAGCTGATTTGTGTGGCGATGATGCAACTACAACCATACAAAAAATAATGTACAACAAAGCGCGAAAACAAAATTGTAGCACCGGTAATGAAATCTGTCTTTTGCTCCTACCAAGCACGGTTGGTCGTCCGCATTGTAATGGAGACATAGCAATAGAAACGCAGTGTAAAATAACGTCTGACTATGAAATTTGCGCTAACAATGGCAAAAAATGTGGTCACTCGTTCGTTCCAGGTACGATTTGGCCTCAGCTTTGGAAATGAGGGACAGTCCATTGGCGCTGGCGCTGAGCGAGAACATCCACGCCGCCGTGTATGACGCCAGGCTGCGCGTCCTTGGGGCCCACCACCCAGACACAGAGAACTCCAAGGCACACTGGACGCGCCTGAGGCGGCAGCGGCAGATTGGCGTCCTAGCTGCGGCGGTTAGGTCGATTGTCGCGGCGTGTGGCAACCTCATCAAGTGGGTGGGTTGGGTGGTGTGGCCGCCAAGCGGTGCCAATGTGCGGCAGTGAAATTTTGGGATTGGATTTGCACCGGGCTGCAGAGCAACGTCCTCGCAGCAGAACTAAATTGGCGAGTGCGCAATGCCGCCAGCAGCAGGGAGCCGGTGCGGGATTGGTGAATATAAACTAATCGAAGGTGCGCAGCGCTATGGGAGGATTTGTGTGCATTGTGTGTGTTGCGACTGCGAGCTGCGCTGTTGGAAGGGAGGTGGGATTGGTGTGTTTTTACGATGTGCTGGTGTCGTGTCGTTGGACTTATTGTGCACACTCGCCACGGTGGGAGGCTGGAGCGGTTTGCAGTGCACTGCTCGGGACAGTGGAGGCAGGAAGAAGTAATTGTGGGTGCCAAGGACCGGGGACGTCCTGGTAAAGGGATTTCTTTTTTTCTGAAGGCTGAATATGTTGAAGCGGAATGGCATGTGCTAGAGGGCTGTTTCTTTGATTGTTTGCTTTGGGATTGCATTGATCTGGTTGTGATGGATGACGGGCGATGGTGCAGGAGCTCAAACCATTGTGGCTGCATGGGGATATGACGAAATTTGCCGATAGAACTCGTTAGACCGCCAGGTGGCGAGTGCCTATTTGACTTGAGAATCATGGGCGGGAAGGGCTGTGGGAAGAACAGGGACTCTCATCGTACAAAAACAATCAAAATTAACAAAAAAATCGGATGTTGAAGAGGGGGTTTATTAGATTATGAAGCTCGAACTAGGACATATCCACAATTGGTTGCTGCCGACCGTATGTTATTTCTAGAAGCTACTCCAGCTTAAAGAAGGGTATCGCAATCACTTTGGGATTCCGAGTTTGACGGGAAGATGAATTTGAGTTTCAGGATTGTATGATGACTAGAGCCAATGAATGCGATGCCTTGCTTGTTAGATCTGTACCAAATGCTGCACATGTACAACCGATCTGGACGGTTGGGAGATTTTGAATGGAAGTGGCGCATGCATGGCTCTCCAGATATCTGTGTCTGCAGTTTTTGATGGCCCACATTGTTTTTGAACTCCCGTTTTGCATAGATGGCCCCGAGGCAGGGCGACCTTAGATTATGTCGTGCGGTACGGAGCTGAGGCACTTCCATGGCGCCGGCAGTCAGTTGAACAAAAATTCTGGCAAGGTAGGGTGCTGCTTTTGTCGTTCATGTATTGGGCAGTGGAATGTTTGGCCAAGGCTGCTGGCCACTTTTAAACGACCGCGCAAGATTGGAGAGGCGACGGTGGGAGGTCGACCGTTTGAGTAAGCTCGACTTTCAAACAGACCCTTCACTGGGGCGCGGGCGTTTAGTGATGGATTGTGTCATGGGAGAAGCGTGTTGCTTGAGCGGATGTGCTCCGGACGCTGATGCGCAAAGGCGGAGGGGCGCCTTGCACGGGTGATGTAACACTATTTGGCGACTGGATGTTGTAAACTCTTGTGCATTGTAGTTTACCCGTGTTCCCCGTAAATGTGGAGCATCGATTTCATCAATATTATGTCATTGCGCTAGCACAAGAGCCTGGAGGTAAACTGATACTTCTGTACAAGGTGAAAATCCCGCGCACACGTGTGCACTTGGTCCTCAGGTTAACGCCGGCCTGACTGTGTGGGCGATCGTTGTGGGGCTGGCAGGTTGGGCTACAGGGCTGCAAGACAATTGCCTATGTAGCGGTTCCAAAATCGACGGCTGCAAAATTCTAATCATCCAAACGATGGGTGGGAGGAATCCGGGGAATCTCCACAGTGCAGACGATGGAGCAGCCCAGTGGCGCGGTGTCCCGCGGTTGGGGCGGACAGCATGCTGCAGCGCACGCTGACAGTGCGCAGCGATATCGATGTTTCCCTATTGATTGGAAAAGGTGCCAAAACCATAAGACCCAAAACCTGGAAACTGTAAGCAAGCCCCAGAATCAAAAATAATGGGGCTGAATTTGAGACCTAAACCCGAACTAAAACCTTAAAATTCAAAAAAAGTCCTAAAATGATGCTGAAAACTGTGAATCCACGTACCGCAATGCACGAAAGTGGTCTGCATTCTGAAACTGATCCTTTGAAAAATGACGACGGCGATTGCTGGTTCTCTAGTTTGGGACTTATGTACAACATAATTGGTTCTGTGTTTCCGCACATCAAGGGCAGATATGGGGGATTGCAGAAGTATCAAATTGGTGCTTTGTTCTGCACTGATGAGCGTACCGTAGTGTATTAAACCCTTCCGCATTTTGAAATTTCAACATTGCATTTTGGCACCCATTTTTCGACGGAGCGTCATTTGCTTCTTTTGCGCTTCATATCGTGTCCAACAGGTAGTGCTATATACAGCCCCCACGCAGGGGGTTCGCCCATCACTCTCCACTGTGGCGTGGAATTTCGCCGGGACGCTCTCCCTGCGATTGACTCAGGCACGGATCAATCCATGGTGAATTGAAAACTGGGAGCGTCATTCTCGCGTGCGCATAAAAAATTGTGGCCATCCGCCAAGTCTCCGTGCTCGACCAGGCCAGGCGCGGCGGCGGCGATGGTCGAATTATTGGCCGATATATTCCGCGTGCTGGCACACGACGAGTATCGTCATCACCAGCCACGGCATGCCGTGCAGCCCCAGGGCTCTTGCAGCGACGCGGCTGCCAATGCGCATTGGCAGCCGCGTCGCTGCCTGAGCCCTGGGGCTGCAACAACTTGGCCATCCACCCTGTTTTTCAAAAGCAACATGTCCATGCCGGCCACATTGGGGAAAGAAACCACGCCCCAAATAAACGCGCCCCACAGAGTCTCTGCCTTCCCAACCTGCGCAGCTTGCTGGGAGATCGACGTTCAACTTGCCCAAGCAATCTCGGCGACTTGCATATTGCTCCAAAATATCAGCGGCTGGCCATCATATTGACACTTTGTATCCCTACGTTTGCCCCTTTTGCAAGGCAAGCATTTTGATTAAAACCGACGACATCTGCAGCGTTTCAACCTGCAAAGTTGGAAGGCGATCGATTGGAAGGTGGGCAACGTGCAAATAGCAGGCTTCGAACCGACATATGATGCCACAGAGCGCGCCTTCTGTGTTTTGCCTGTAAACGGTTAACACTTTGGGGTCTGTATGGAACAGCATTCAGCTTTTCCGTGGCGGGCGTTTGATTCGAAAAGCCTTGCCTTCTTAATTCTGTAACCTATTTTGTTTGTTTATAAAAGGCAATTGCCACCGTAGTGGCCCCGTGGAACACCTTTGTCTCTGGGCATGGTTCAATTTGGTCGAATCCCCTGAAGGGGCACGTGCAAGGGAGGACGTGTTTGCTCCTTGTTGAGCCACTTGCGCCCGGCATTTTGTGAAAGGTGGGCTCCAGCTGCCGATGCCGTGTTGTCGAGGAGGATGCTCATCGTATTCCGGAGCGTTGGATCTCTTGACCACCAATTGACCGTCGCCGCCCTCACCAGGCTTGTTGTTTAAGTAAACGGCTCCATTTTTGCACGTAGTTCATAAAAACGCGTAAATAGAGAAACGGCCGTAACGGCCGTAACTATGGCCGTAAAAAACGGTTTTTTACGGCCATAGTTACCCCTATTTACGGCTTGTCGACACGCCCAGATAACATGATGATGTCCCAATCAACGATCGATCCTCCACTCTCTCCAGCACCGGCAACGCAGTGCATACCTTGCCCTCAGCAAGGGCAACGACGCCGCCCAGCAAAACATCGTTTTGTGCATTATTTTATGCATTTCAGCGCATCAAGCCGCCGCTCCTCGGACTCTCCCTGAGTCCGTATGTACGGTATTTAAGTACACAAGGCCCAGCTTTGCGCACTTTACGTCCATTTACTCGTAAGAACGTAAGAACTACTTTTACGTGCAAGTAACCGTAATTAGAAAAGTGTTCAAGCCGCGAACACCAAGCCTGGCCCTCACGCCTCGCCTGGTCGAGCATGGGGACTATGCACACAACTTTGTGCGCAGGCCGGAGGACGCTCCCAGTTTTGAACCCATCTCATATCCGTGCTTGGATAAGTCCCGGGGGCGGTGTCCCGGCGAATGCCACGCCACAGCGTGAACTGATGGGCCCAGGCCCCCTCCCTGCGGACTCCCTCCCTGCGGACTGTGTACTTCACTGCCCTGCCTGGGCGATGGCAGAATTGTGTGCGCGCACTCTCCTAGCTGGCCTGCACTAGTCTGGCCTGCACTAGGACAGTTTCTGCTAGAATGGAGAGTTACGTATTAAACAAGAGTTAAGTATTAAGAAAGCGGCACTACAAAGGCTCTCTCAGTCGTCAATTTGGTACAAAATTGAGAGCGCTGTCCATCACCTCGTGCTCTGGGTGGCGGGGACCCGAAGGTGAAGTTGCAGCCCCAGCGGCAGACCTCTGGGGTGGTGTAGGGCGTCGACCTTCTCACTGCGTACCGCGGTGGGTTCCAGGCGATCCGCTTTCCCACGGTGGGTGTTCCTCGGGAGTGGGTTGGGCGGTGCGGGGGGCTGTGGCTTGGCCGAACCGGCGGATCGCATCTGGCGCAAGACCTCTGGCAGGATGCCTTTAAAGGCATCAGCGATGCGACCTCGAGGCGGAATCGGCTGTGGGGGGATCTTGCGGCCGCGCCACGATCATAGACGCTATGGGAGCGCGTACGAAGCGCTAGCTTGTCTGCACCGGCTCGGGTTTATCGAGATGAACGAGCAGGACCAGTTCTTAGGGACGCTAGTTTGTTTCTATCTGGCCATCCTTCCGCTGCTTTCTTGCTTCAGCAGTGGCGACTGCGATCCGCGTCTTCTTCTTCTGTGACACGACGTGGGTTCGAGGGCATCGGGAGTTTGATGTGGGGCCGCTGTCGACGGACCAAGTGATGAAGCTGTGGGTTCCGCCCAGAAGCTGGTTTGACTGGGGAGGAGGGCCGGATCAGCTTGCCCGGGGTGTAAAGAACATTGCTGTTCAGCAAAACATCCTGATCCCAAGTCATGCGATCGAGTTCAGAGAAATTGCTCATGCGAACAAGGTGGTTCACTACGGGTTCGCCGCGTTGGCTGCTTCATTGCGTGTTTGCATAAG